ATCAGTAACCTTATCACCACGACCAGAGGTCTTCAGTGCAGGTACACATCAGTAACCTTATCACCACGACCAGAGGTCTTCAGTGCAGGTACACATCAGTAACCTTATCACCACGACCAGAGGTCTTCAGTGCAGGTACACATCAGTAACCTTATCACCACGACCAGAGGTCTTCAGTGCAGGTACACATCAGTAACCTTATCACCACGACCAGAGGTCTTCAGTGCAGGTACACATCAGTAACCTTATCACCACGACCAGAGGTCTTCAGTGCAGGTACACATCAGTAACCTTATCACCACGACCAGAGGTCTTCAGTGCAGGTACACATCAGTAACCTTATCACCACGACCAGAGGTCTTCAGTGCAGGTACACATCAGTAACCTTATCACCACGACCAGAGGTCTTCAGTGCAGGTACACATCAGTAACCTTATCACCACGACCAGAGGTCTTCAGTGCAGGTACACATCAGTAACCTTATCACCACGACCAGAGGTCTTCAGTGCAGGTACACATCAGTAACCTTATCACCACGACCAGAGGTCTTCAGTGCAGGTACACATCAGTAACCTTATCACCACGACCAGAGGTCTTCAGTGCAGGTACACATCAGTAACCTTATCACCACGACCAGAGGTCTTCAGTGCAGGTACACATCAGTAACCTTATCACCACGACCAGAGGTCTTCAGTGCAGGTACACATCAGTAACCTTATCACCACGACCAGAGGTCTTCAGTGCAGGTACACATCAGTAACCTTATCACCACGACCAGAGGTCTTCAGTGCAGGTACACATCAGTAACCTTATCACCACGACCAGAGGTCTTCAGTGCAGGTACACATCAGTAACCTTATCACCACGACCAGAGGTCTTCAGTGCAGGTACACATCAGTAACCTTATCACCACGACCAGAGGTCTTCAGTGCAGGTACACATCAGTAACCTTATCACCACGACCAGAGGTCTTCAGTGCAGGTACACATCAGTAACCTTATCACCACGACCAGAGGTCTTCAGTGCAGGTACACATCAGTAACCTTATCACCACGACCAGAGGTCTTCAGTGCAGGTACACATCAGTAACCTTATCACCACGACCAGAGGTCTTCAGTGCAGGTACACATCAGTAACCTTATCACCACGACCAGAGGTCTTCAGTGCAGGTACACATCAGTAACCTTATCACCACGACCAGAGGTCTTCAGTGCAGGTACACATCAGTAACCTTATCACCACGACCAGAGGTCTTCAGTGCAGGTACACATCAGTAACCTTATCACCACGACCAGAGGTCTTCAGTGCAGGTACACATCAGTAACCTTATCACCACGACCAGAGGTCTTCAGTGCAGGTACACATCAGTAACCTTATCACCACGACCAGAGGTCTTCAGTGCAGGTACACATCAGTAACCTTATCACCACGACCAGAGGTCTTCAGTGCAGGTACACATCAGTAACCTTATCACCACGACCAGAGGTCTTCAGTGCAGGTACACATCAGTAACCTTATCACCACGACCAGAGGTCTTCAGTGCAGGTACACATCAGTAACCTTATCACCACGACCAGAGGTCTTCAGTGCAGGTACACATCAGTAACCTTATCACCACGACCAGAGGTCTTCAGTGCAGGTACACATCAGTAACCTTATCACCACGACCAGAGGTCTTCAGTGCAGGTACACATCAGTAACCTTATCACCACGACCAGAGGTCTTCAGTGCAGGTACACATCAGTAACCTTATCACCACGACCAGAGGTCTTCAGTGCAGGTACACATCAGTAACCTTATCACCACGACCAGAGGTCTTCAGTGCAGGTACACATCAGTAACCTTATCACCACGACCAGAGGTCTTCAGTGCAGGTACACATCAGTAACCTTATCACCACGACCAGAGGTCTTCAGTGCAGGTACACATCAGTAACCTTATCACCACGACCAGAGGTCTTCAGTGCAGGTACACATCAGTAACCTTATCACCACGACCAGAGGTCTTCAGTGCAGGTACACATCAGTAACCTTATCACCACGACCAGAGGTCTTCAGTGCAGGTACACATCAGTAACCTTATCACCACGACCAGAGGTCTTCAGTGCAGGTACACATCAGTAACCTTATCACCACGACCAGAGGTCTTCAGTGCAGGTACACATCAGTAACCTTATCACCACGACCAGAGGTCTTCAGTGCAGGTACACATCAGTAACCTTATCACCACGACCAGAGGTCTTCAGTGCAGGTACACATCAGTAACCTTATCACCACGACCAGAGGTCTTCAGTGCAGGTACACATCAGTAACCTTATCACCACGACCAGAGGTCTTCAGTGCAGGTACACATCAGTAACCTTATCACCACGACCAGAGGTCTTCAGTGCAGGTACACATCAGTAACCTTATCACCACGACCAGAGGTCTTCAGTGCAGGTACACATCAGTAACCTTATCACCACGACCAGAGGTCTTCAGTGCAGGTACACATCAGTAACCTTATCACCACGACCAGAGGTCTTCAGTGCAGGTACACATCAGTAACCTTATCACCACGACCAGAGGTCTTCAGTGCAGGTACACATCAGTAACCTTATCACCACGACCAGAGGTCTTCAGTGCAGGTACACATCAGTAACCTTATCACCACGACCAGAGGTCTTCAGTGCAGGTACACATCAGTAACCTTATCACCACGACCAGAGGTCTTCAGTGCAGGTACACATCAGTAACCTTATCACCACGACCAGAGGTCTTCAGTGCAGGTACACATCAGTAACCTTATCACCACGACCAGAGGTCTTCAGTGCAGGTACACATCAGTAACCTTATCACCACGACCAGAGGTCTTCAGTGCAGGTACACATCAGTAACCTTATCACCACGACCAGAGGTCTTCAGTGCAGGTACACATCAGTAACCTTATCACCACGACCAGAGGTCTTCAGTGCAGGTACACATCAGTAACCTTATCACCACGACCAGAGGTCTTCAGTGCAGGTACACATCAGTAACCTTATCACCACGACCAGAGGTCTTCAGTGCAGGTACACATCAGTAACCTTATCACCACCACCAGCAAACTTCAGTGCAGGTACACATCAGTAACCTTATCACCTCGACCAGAGGTCTTCAGTGCAGGTACACATCAGTAACCTTTCAACTCGGACTGTCACCAACCACCCTAAGGCTTTGATGTGAACTACACCCAGTCACTGTGGAAGATGTACAACAGGAGTCAAAACTGATGTATCTGAAGATATCTTGGACCAAGTAGAGGTGTGCTCTGACAACCTTACTCCCGAACAGAAGAGTGAGACAGCTGTTTGAGAAAGGACTTGGGGCTTTATGGGTCATGTTTGGCCTCATACAAATTTCAACTTGAATTTCTTAATCAATTTCTGTTATAAACACCATATTGGTAAATTGGGGCTATCTTTCTTGGTGCACATTTTTTCCAATGCGCATGCGTAGATGCCCTTCCATAGCAACAAAATTGCATTGCTATGCAAAAATAGACGAATATAGTGTTTTGGACAGTGAGCATGCAGAAATAAAGGCCTGCGCATGTGACAAACAAAAAATCCTTTCTACGAATGAACACTGGTTTGACAATGTTTAAGCATGTCAAATTGTATTTTGTTTGTTGCATGCGGAGGCTTTAAAAAATTAAAAAGTGTTTACTTAATTTCCTTCAAAATGGTCAAATTTCAACCAAATAGCGCACAACAAACTGTAATCACGCATTTTATTATGAAAATGCGGGTTCATGTCTCTTTGTAATGCCAGTAAATCTCCTAAACCAGTTGTCGAATGAATTTGGTATTTGATATTTCAATACTTCGTTTATTCCAGATTACGAATATAACAACTAGGGGGACACGTAATTTAAAATCCCTGATGAGGCCGGAAATGCCCCTTAATGCCCCTAGTCCTTTAAGTAAAATCCTCGATGAGGCCGGAAATGCCCTTAATCCCCCTAGTCCTTTAGGTAAAATCCTCAATGAGGCCGGAAATGCCCCTTAATGTCCCTAGTCCTTTAGGTAAAACCCCGATGAGGCCGGAAATGCCCCTTAATGCCCCTAGTCCTTTAGGTAAACTTCCGATGAGGCCAGAAATGCCCCTTAATGCCCATAGTCCTTTAGGTAAAATCCTCAATGAGGCCAGAAATGCCCCTTAATGCCCCTAGTCCTTTAGGTAAAATCCACGCTGAGGCCAGAAATGCCCCTTAATGCCCCTAGTCCTTTAGGTAAAATCCACGCTGAGGCCAGAAATGCCCCTTAATGCCCCTAGTCCTTTAGGTAAAATCTTCGCTGAGGCCGGAAATGCCCCTAGTCCTTTAGGTAAAATCCTCAATGAGGCCGGAAATGCCCCTTAATGACCCTAGTCCTTTAGGTAAAATCCTCGCTGAGGCCGGAAATGCCCCTTAATTCCCCTTAATGCCCCTAGTCCTTTAGGTAAAATCCTCGCTGAGACCTGAAATGCCCCTAGTCCTTTAGGTAAAATCCTCAATGAGGCCGGAAATGCCCGTTAATGCCCCTAGTCCTTTAGGTCCAGTTTGCTGAAGGAAGAGGTACACTGGAATTTACTTGTGCAGTAGATTGACAAGAAAACAACAAAACATTGTCAATTTGATATCAAAATAATTTATTTTGTAATTTGAATTGTTCCCTTTATTAGGAATAATAACATATTTACCAAAGGACATGATATATGAAACAGTCGACCCACCCAACCCTCAGTTACCCCCTTAGTACACATACATACACTCAAATATCATTGCATATATTTGTTCAAATCAATCACGGTAAATAATCCGAAATTTGAACACAAAATAAAATAACAATTTTTTCTTTAAGAAATTTTACTATAATTACTTTAAACAAAGTTGAAAAAAAAATTGATCATCTGTCATTTGTGGATTTTATTTACAATATTTTGTGTATTTAACAAAACGAAATACCAATCCTTCCCTTCTGCATTTGTAATCACATTTAATTATTTTATAAACTTTGTCAAAGATTCATGTATGACCATATAAGGCAAATTACTACTAAGTGACCAATGGGTCACATTTCAGCCACAATCATAACCTATCTACACCCTAGTCTTATACTATTCACTCAATCTGTCATAAACAGCGAAAAATGCATATTGCTTGTAGCACGTAAATATCAAATGTAGATTTCAAAGTTTAACTTCAAATATGAAAAAAAAATTGCGTAAGAAAATTACAAAAAATACTTTACATAAAATAAAGCATCAAAATGTAAAATATTGAGAATCATTTCCATGAAAATGAAGAGAAGTGATGTGGTAATTTCAAAAAGTTTCACAAATTGTTTGCACAGAAATAAAGTTAGCTTTAGGATTAAGTAGACAATAATTTTGGCTACAAATGACATTTTGTGATTTCATGATTTCAACAGGTTAATTCTGATATATCATATAAAGATCCAAATTATTCTCATTTGATCAGATATTGAAATTTAATTTCAATCCTATTATCATAAATTGTATAAGATTAAAATACAGCTAAAAGATAAAAAGTACAAATAATTGTTTTTTGAATGTTTTTTTTCTAGTTTCTAAGCTATTACACCAATTAAATGGAAGAATCTATGTATATTATAAAAGATCATTTAATATCCGATCTCCTATGGATTAAAATTTTGAAGTTACACATGTTCATAGGTATTTTCAGTGGCAAAAAATAAATATAATGCATATGCAAAAATAAAAGGTAATGGACGGTAAGATAAATATCAAACCGGGGTACACAGCTGACATTGACACATCGTTACGTCAAAGTAGCATTACATAACGTGGAACATATTTCTCTAAAAAGGAAAACATATATACATGTATGCATAATTATATAAAGAAACACAGTATGCTTTAATAGAGAAACATTCAAAAGCAAGTTTTGAAACCCTGAATGAACCTATCAACAAATTCATGAGAGCATTACTTTTACAGAAACACTTGTTCAATAAACAGCTGTACAGTCTTACTACGATGAACACTATGTACAGTCTTACTACGATGAACACTATGTACAACATGAACTATTTGTGAGCACTTCCTTTTACTATTTTGCACACTACCTAGGTAATGTGGCTTTCTGTTGATAAAAACCTTCATGATCTAAGCCAGTTGTCGGCCCAGCACCAATATTCCTAGGTGCCCTCAAAAACCATAAATATTCGTACATGGGGAAAATTTCATGTTTCACATAATGATATGACATGCTTACTAAAGTTCATGGCCTGGTCCCCTTTATCAGTAACAACTTTATTACATCAATCTAACAACACATACTATTACTGTGGTACGACGCTTCACTAAGATACATGGTGAATACCTAACACCCTAGCTAGCTGTGGCAGTGACCAGCCCATAAATGCATGTAACTGTGAATAATTTAACTACATATACATGTACAATGGAACCTCGTTAATTTAGACGCCGGTCGTCCGAAAGCTTTATTGACAATCTAAATTAGCGAAAGTGTCTAGATTCACGAGGATCCATTGTCAGATAAACATGTTGGCCAGTGACCGTTGTTTTGTAAATCTGACTAGTCTAGTGTAAATCACAGATAAATCACAAGGAACCAAACACACCATCAAGTCAACATCCCTTTCACAGGTGCCATTATCAAAAATATAACACTGTAAATACATCGTAGGGTGTTTAAACATGCCTAAATCAGTAATCACTCTTGTCTTAATTGCCAATCCACTCTCCAGGCAAAAATTAAGAGAAAATAACTTCTGCACAAATATTGGAATAGAAGTTATTCACGTTGTTTAGTAAAAATCTATTGAATCATTTTTTCAACACCGAAAAAAATGTCATCAGTGATAACTTGTTGGTTTCCACCGCCTCCCTACGTGTTTACATACATACACTTTAACCACTGTCTTTAATATCTGAGTATAGGAGAGTCATTCTCACACTGGCTGTCACATAACCTTCTGTGGAGGTGTACCGAAGGCTACTGATATCGGTTTAAAGCGATAACACAGATTTGGCATTAATCATCATCTACAAATATTCTGGATTTCCTTTTGTAAAGCTTGTTCTGACAGCACAGTGTAAACGTTTATAAAAATCCATAAAATAGGATCACATAAAGATTCAGAAGATGTCACAACTGTCTGAGGATAGGTGATCTTGGCAATGATGTTGTTTATTAACTTCCTCCATGTTACATACATTTATCCTGTTAATATGAAATGAATCATGTTTAGAATCATGGCACCAGAGATTTGTTTGGCATTTCTACGCTTTAAGTTGACTCCGCTACATCCCAGTGTCACACACAGGTCAAGGTTAGGAAGTACCGTTCTATCAGCGAAGGTCGGAGTTGGCTTCAGGAATGATGTCTCTAACATAGCCGGTTAACACTGGTTTACACTGGTTAACACCGGTTTACACTGGTTTACAGAACAAATAATCAGTTGTACTACGATCTACCACAAACCAAACGTGCACCACACCATCCCAGTGACAGACGTACACAGGTTAGCCCTGTAATGTTAGCCAAAACCAAAACGTGCAGCTCATCAAGGATATCTGTGTTAAGCAAAGCTTGCAAGATCTATTTATTTCCAACACTAAACTTCTGTAGCCTTATCAGTTCTGTCTATACATTTACTATGTAGTTTAATCACACCCCTGTCAGTAACCTCATCAGTTCTGTTTATACATTTACTATGTAGTTTAATCACACCCCTGTCAGTAACCTCATCAGTTCTGTTTATACATTTACTATGTAGTTTAATCACACCCCTGTCAGTAACCTTATCAGTTCTGTTTATACATTTACTGTGTAGTTTAATCATACCCCTGTCAGTAGCTTCATCAGTTCTGTTTATACATTTACTATGTAGTTTAATCATACCCCTGTCAGTAGCCTTATCAGTTATGTCTATACATTTACTGTGTAGTTTAATCACACCCCTGTCAGTAGCCTTATCAGTTATGTCTATACATTTACTTTGTAGTTTAATCACACCCCTGTCAGTAGCCTTATCAGTTCTGTTTATACATTTACTATGTAGTTTAATCACACCCCTGTCAGTAGCCTCATCAGTTCTGTTTATACATTTACTATGAAGTTTAATCACACCCCTGTCAGTAGCCTTATCAGTTCTGTTTATACATTTACTATGAAGTTTGATCACACCCCTGTCAGTAGCCTTATCAGTTCTGTTTATACATTTACTATGTAGTTTAATCAGACCCCTGTCAGTAGCCTTATCAGTTCTGTTTATACATTTAATATGAAGTTTGATCACTCCCCTGTCAGTAGCCTTATCAGTTCTGTTTATACATTTACTATGTAGTTTAATCACACCCCTGTCAGTAGCCTTATCAGTTATGTTTATACATTTACTATGTAGTTTAATCACATCCCTGTCAGTAGCTTCATCAGTTCTGTCTATACATTTACTATGTAGTTAATTTTTTTTTGTACACTGGTTGTTTATTTAATTCAACTTAATCTGCAGATCATCTCAAATACAAAAACAATACAATGGTTAAAATCTAAATTTGCTGGTAAATCCGATCTTTCCATTCCCCCCATGGCCAGTGGATAAGATTTAGTTGTTATCCCTTAATGATTTCACACACAGAATAGTCTGTAGTAATGACATGTTTTAGTTTGGATTGATATGACATAAAACATGACCACCACCAGTCTGGGTCTCACATGACTATAACTATAAGCATGCATCAAAACTACTGATATCAGCATCTCACTTAAAACCTTGACACAAGAATTTGTTTTACTGAGAAATTGTAAAAACACCAAACAACTCCCACAATAGCCTACATGGGGATCAAAAGAGGAAAAGACAGGAAGTCATTGTAAATGAACAAAAAATGTAAAATGTTTGGGGATAAAAATGAACAGAAGATATTGTTGTAACATTTTACCTGCTGATTACCACAAGTCTGATTCGTTATCTAAAACATCAAACAGGCTACATAGTTAGTACACAAACACAAGTTAGTCGGCACAGTTACAGTATTACCCAGTACTTTAGCTCAACCTGCAAATACACAAAACAAAGTATAAAGTACAGCACATACCCGACCGCCACCTTGTAGCTGTTCTATAGCAAGTGCGTACCCGACCGCCACCTTGTAGCTGTTCTATAGCAAGTCCGTGTGTATTGCATACTTAGTCAGTGTGTCTGACCGTGACAGACGGTAATGTCATTAGATGGCCAGGAGTCCTAGCAGACATGTAATAGCAGTTGTAGGATATAGCTAATCAATGAATTAAATCCTCCCAGTGACCCTGGACTGTCTATTCAAACATTGTAGGATATAGCTAATCAATGAATTAAATCCTCCCAGTGACCCTGGACTGTCTATTCAAACATTGTAGGATATAGCTAATCAATGAATTAAATCCTCCCAGTGACCCTGGACTGTCTATTCAAACATTGTAGGATATAGCTAATCAATGAATTAAATCCTCCCAGTGACCCTGGACTGTCTATTCAAACATTGTAGGATATAGCTAATCAATGAATTAAATCCTCCCAGTGACCCTGGACTGTCTATTCAAACATTGTAGGATATAGCTAATCAATGAATTAAATCCTCCCAGTGACCCTGGACTGTCTATTCAAACATTGTAGGATATAGCTAATCAATGAATTAAATCCTCCCAGTGACCCTGGACTGTCTATTCAAACATTGTAGGATATAGCTAATCAATGAATTAAATCCTCCCAGTGACCCTGGACTGTCTATTCAAACATTGTAGGATATAGCTAATCAATGAATTAAATCCTCCCAGTGACCCTGGACTGTCTATTCAAACATTGTAGGATATAGCTAATCAATGAATTAAATCCTCCCAGTGACCCTGGACTGTCTATTCAAACATTGTAGGATATAGCTAATCAATGAATTAAATCCTCCCAGTGACCCTGGACTGTCTATTCAAACATTGTAGGATATAGCTAATCAATGAATTAAATCCTCCCAGTGACCCTGGACTGTCTATTCAAACATTGTAGGATATAGCTAATCAATGAATTAAATCCTCCCAGTGACCCTGGACTGTCTATTCAAACATTGTAGGATATAGCTAATCAATGAATTAAATCCTCCCAGTGACCCTGGACTGTCTATTCAAACATTGTAGGATATAGCTAATCAATGAATTAAATCCTCCCAGTGACCCTGGACTGTCTATTCAAACATTGTAGGATATAGCTAATCAATGAATTAAATCCTCCCAGTGACCCTGGACTGTCTATTCAAACATTGTAGGATATAGCTAATCAATGAATTAAATCCTCCCAGTGACCCTGGACTGTCTATTCAAACATTGTAGGATATAGCTAATCAATGAATTAAATCCTCCCAGTGACCCTGGACTGTCTATTCAAACATTGTAGGATATAGCTAATCAATGAATTAAATCCTCCCAGTGACCCTGGACTGTCTATTCAAACATTGTAGGATATAGCTAATCAATGAATTAAATCCTCTCAGTGACCCTGGACTGTCTATTCAAACATTGTAGGATATAGCTAATCAGTGAATTAAATCCTCTCAGTGACCCTGGACTGTCTATTCAAACATTGTAAGATATAGCTAATCAATGAATTAAATCCTCTCAGTGACCCTGGACTCTCAGTGACCCAGGACTGTCTATTCAAACATTGTAAGATATAGCTAATCAGTGAATTAAATCCTCTCAGTGACCCTGGACTGTCTATTCAAACATTGTAAGATATAGCTAATCAATGAATTAAATCCTCTCAGTGACCCTGGACTCTCAGTGACCCTGGACTCCCAGTGACCCTGGACTCCCAGTGACCCTGGACTCTCAGTGACCCTGGACTCTCAGTGACCCTGGACTCTCAGTGACCCTGGACTCTCAGTGACCCTGGACTCTCAGTGACCCTGGACTGTCTATACAAACTTCCTCATTGAACAGCTTCTATTGGTCATTGATGAACCTTACAATAGGGATATGTAGCACATTGGTATGACATAGAGAGATGACGACATATATCAGGTACAGAATGACATAGAGAATGACGACATATATCAGGTACAGAATAACATGACATCAGTGATAGGGTGACGATGAGCCGCGGCGTGGCGTACCTGAGCTACTCATACTGCTGAGAGTTTTCTGTAGGCTCTCAAGGCGTTTGATGTAGTCATCGTGGAGAGCCTCTTTGGGGCGTTCAGATTGGCATGATGTGGCACCTTCGTTTTCATGAGAACTTTTAGAACTATATGAGCTGGGTTTCGTTTTATGGGATGAAGACAATAGTTTTCTGAAAAAATTAAATAAATAATTATGCAAAAACTAAGAAAAAATACCTAAATCTAAGTGGTGTGACAGTATTCAGAAATAATATAGCATGAACCCTATCTAAACAACATTTCAGAATAATTCAAAATGACTGACTTTATGTCCATCATGCTTCCATATTAATTTGAATCTAAGAAATTTGATTGTAAGGGAATGCATGCTATCAATGTTCTTGGTGAAATTGAAATCCTCGTTAATAACAATGCAATTCTGAGTACATTTGCCACCAATGAAGAAGTACCATTCAATAGATTTAAAGGCGTATCATAGGTTGTAGAGTTGTATTTAAAGGCGTAGCATAGGTTGTAGAGGTGTATTTAAAGGCATATCATAGGTTGTAGAGGTGTATTTAAAGGCGTAGCATAGGTTGTAGAGTTGTATTTAAAGGCGTATCATAGGTTGTAGAGGTGTAGTTAAAGGCGTAGCATAGGTTGTAGAGTTTTATCATAGGTTGTAAGGCGTATTTTAGGTTGTAAGGCATATCATAGGTTGTAGAGGTGTATCATAGGTTGTAGAGGTGTATCATAGATTTAAAGGCGTATCATAGGTTGTAAGGCGTATCATAGGTTGTAAGGCATATCATAGGTTGGAGAGGTGTATTACCCTGTAACTCTTTTGAAATGAAGATACATTTTATATCAAGGTGATCATACCCTTAAACTTATGGCCACTGCTTGTTGACAAAGTTGCATTGTCTAGAGACTTGACCCAAGATTAAGTTTTGTACGTCTGGCTCATTATCGGTAGACGTAACAATACACTTACCTTCGAGCACCAGAGTTTGGGTCGCGGGAGGCGATGTGTCTTGTGAGACTGTAGTCCTTTGTTGGGGGTGTCGACCCTACAGCTGCAGGAGGGCGTGCTACTATGGGTTGATAGGATGATGGGGAGTTTGAATCGGAGTCCCCCGGAGGTGAAGATGCTGAAAATGTGACTCTGGAGGGGCGCGCCATAAACATGCCGGAGTTATATGGAGGTGATCCATTAATTCTAGGAGGCGAGAAACTCCGCCCACTTGTCACCCTTGGGGGTGAAAAGCTACCATCAGTTGGCATATAGGCTGAAATAAAAACAGAGAAACACTCAATACTTTACATATTACAAAAACATGAACACCACAGCTAAGGTGGAGGTACAGACTCAATGGACTTAGTAAGTATACACTAGGCAAGCTAAAGTGGAGGTACAGACTCAATGGACTTAGTAAGTATACACTAGGCAACAGCTAAGGTGGAGGTACAGACTCAATGGACTTAGTAAGTATACACTAGGCAAGCTAAGGTGGAGGTACAGACTCAATGGACTTAGTAAGTATACACTAGGCAACAGCTAAGGTGGAGGTACAGACTCAATGGACTTAGTAAGTATACACTAGGCAAGCTAAGGTGGAGGTACAGACTCAATGGACTTAGTAAGTATACACTAGGCAACAGCTAAGGTGGAGGTACAGACTCAATGGACTTAGTAAGTATACACTAGGCAAGCTAAGGTGGAGGTACAGACTCAATGGACTTAGTAAGTATACACTAGGCAACAGCTAAGGTGGAGGTACAGACTCAATGGACTTAGTAAGTATACACTAGGCAAGCTAAGGTGGAGGTACAGACTCAATGGACTTAGTAAGTATACACTAGGCAACAGCTAAGGTGGAGGTACAGACTCAATGGACTTAGTAAGTATACACTAGGCAAGCTAAGGTGGAGGTACAGACTCAATGGACTTAGTAAGTATACACTAGGCAACAGCTAAGGTGGAGGTACAGACTCAATGGACTTAGTAAGTATACACTAGGCAAGCTAAGGTGGAGGTACAGACTCAATGGACTTAGTAAGTATACACTAGGCAACAGCTAAGGTGGAGGTACAGACTCAATGGACTTAGTAAGTATACACTAGGCAAGCTAAGGTGGAGGTACAGACTCAATGGACTTAGTAAGTATACACTAGGCAACAGCTAAGGTGGAGGTACAGACTCAATGGACTTAGTAAGTATACACTAGGCAAGCTAAGGTGGAGGTACAGACTCAATGGACTTAGTAAGTATACACTAGGCAACAGCTAAGGTGGAGGTACAGACTCAATGGACTTAGTAAGTATACACTAGGCAAGCTAAGGTGGAGGTACAGACTCAATGGACTTAGTAAGTATACACTAGGCAACAGCTAAGGTGGAGGTACAGACTCAATGGACTTAGTAAGTATACACTAGGCAAGCTAAGGTGGAGGTACAGACTCAATGGACTTAGTAAGTATACACTAGGCAACAGCTAAGGTGGAGGTACAGACTCAATGGACTTAGTAAGTATACACTAGGCAAGCTAAGGTGGAGGTACAGACTCAATGGACTTAGTAAGTATACACTAGGCAACAGCTAAGGTGGAGGTACAGACTCAATGGACTTAGTAAGTATACACTAGGCAAGCTAAGGTGGAGGTACAGACTCAATGGACTTAGTAAGTATACACTAGGCAACAGCTAAGGTGGAGGTACAGACTCAATGGACTTAGTAAGTATACACTAGGCAAGCTAAGGTGGAGGTACAGACTCAATGGACTTAGTAAGTATACACTAGGCAACAGCTAAGGTGGAGGTACAGACTCAATGGACTTAGTAAGTATACACTAGGCAAGCTAAGGTGGAGGTACAGACTCAATGGACTTAGTAAGTATACACTAGGCAACAGCTAAGGTGGAGGTACAGACTCAATGGACTTAGTAAGTATACACTAGGCAAGCTAAGGTGGAGGTACAGACTCAATGGACTTAGTAAGTATACACTAGGCAACAGCTAAGGTGGAGGTACAGACTCAATGGACTTAGTAAGTATACACTAGGCAAGCTAAGGTGGAGGTACAGACTCAATGGACTTAGTAAGTATACACTAGGCAACAGCTAAGGTGGAGGTACAGACTCAATGGACTTAGTAAGTATACACTAGGCAAGCTAAGGTGGAGGTACAGACTCAATGGACTTAGTAAGTATACACTAGGCAACAGCTAAGGTGGAGGTACAGACTCAATGGACTTAGTAAGTATACACTAGGCAAGCTAAGGTGGAGGTACAGACTCAATGGACTTAGTAAGTATACACTAGGCAACAGCTAAGGTGGAGGTACAGACTCAATGGACTTAGTAAGTATACACTAGGCAAGCTAAGGTGGAGGTACAGACTCAATGGACTTAGTAAGTATACACTAGGCAACAGCTAAGGTGGAGGTACAGACTCAATGGACTTAGTAAGTATACACTAGGCAAGCTAAGGTGGAGGTACAGACTCAATGGACTTAGTAAGTATACACTAGGCAACAGCTAAGGTGGAGGTACAGACTCAATGGACTTAGTAAGTATACACTAGGCAAGCTAAGGTGGAGGTACAGACTCAATGGACTTAGTAAGTATACACTAGGCAACAGCTAAGGTGGAGGTACAGACTCAATGGACTTAGTAAGTATACACTAGGCAAGCTAAGGTGGAGGTACAGACTCAATGGACTTAGTAAGTATACACTAGGCAACAGCTAAGGTGGAGGTACAGACTCAATGGACTTAGTAAGTATACACTAGGCAACAGCTAAGGTGGAGGTACAGACTCAATGGACTTAGTAAGTATACACTAGGCAAGCAAAGGTATGTAGTTACATTTCTTCTGGAGATCTTTTAAAATCTATAGAAGACAAAAATGATGCTGCAGTGATAATTGACATAAACCTGAAAATGAAAGTTTCATTATGAGTTTTTCCTGTGGAGGAGAAGTTTAATTACTTAAACATTTCCTGTTTTAAAATTTTTAAAAACGATTGGCACTCATGTTTTTTCTGTTCATAACAGTTAAAACTGAAAACACTGGAAGTGATGAGTGATGAGAGGAGTTATCTACCTTGCTGTGTGTCGACGGAGCCACCAACTACTGGAGATCCGACCCTCGTCGCTCGTCGCCATTTCTTCACAAGGTACTTCATCCTAAATATACAATGTCAAACATATATATATATATCTCTCTCTCTGTAAATATAGATATATATCTCTCTCTGTGTATGGGGCAAATGTATATAGATATATATCTCTCTGTGTAGATATAGATATATATATATCTCTCTGTGTAGATATAGATATATATCTCTGTGTGTAGATATATCTCTCTCTGTGTAGATATATAAATCTCTCTCTCTGTAGATATATAAATCTCTCTCTCTGTAGATATATAAATCTCTCTCTCTGTAGATATATATATCTCTCTCTGTAGATATATAAATCTCTCTCTCTGTAGATATATAAATCTCTCTCTCTCTGTAGATATATATATCTCTCTCTGTAGATATATAAATCTCTCTCTCTGTAGATATATAAATCTCTCTCTGTGTAGATATATATATATATCTCTCTGTAGATATATATATATTTCTCTCTGTAGATATATATATCTCTCTGTAGATGTATATATATTTCTCTCTGTAGATATATATCTCTCTCTCTACAGATATATGTATCTCTCTCTCTCTCTCTGTAGATATATAAATCTCTCTCTGTGTAGATATATATATATATCTCTCTGTAGATGTATATATATCTCTCTCTGTAGATATATATATCTCTCTCTCTGTAGATATATATATCTCTCTCTCTGTAGATATATATATCTCTCTCTGTGTAGATGTATATATATCTCTCTGTAGATATATAAATCTCTCTCTACAGATATATGTATCTCTCTCTCTCTCTCTCTCTCTCTCTCGCTGTATATCGGTATATGTTACTACATACTTTCTGAGTAACAAGGGATTTACAATGTATTACACATATTAGCATGAAGTTAAGTTAATGCCACATAAAAAGTACGAAAACGTTACTGACCTTGTGATAGCAACAACGACCTTTGCTGCACTTCTAAAGATATTGTAGGGGCGTCGCCTGTGCTGATGTCGACTAACATCTTCCAAGGAGGGATACGCTCCCATCTGGGCAAGCATGGCAAGAGTTGTCTCCTCACAGTCCTGGAAACCACCAAGTAGCAGCAACAAATACTTCTTCTGGTACACCAGTGCCTTCCGGAAACTTTCTGCCCTGAGGTATTTACCATACAGTCTCTGGATCTACAAAACATGTAGGCATTGATAATTAACGTATCGTACATGTAGGTATTGATAATTAACGTATCGTACATGTAGGCATTGATAATTACCGTATCGTACATGTAGGTATTGATAATTAACAAAACATGTCGGCATTGATAGTTAACGTATCGTACATGTAGTTGTGTACTGTATTGTCCTTGAATCTATTAAAACTGAACATAATAATCAACTGTATGATCTCTGTATCTACTTAAAGAGAACACCTTTCAAAACACATATTTAAAGGCATTGAAATATCAAAAAACAAGAGATCCGCAAAGAAATGAATCTTCCTATGAAGTTTAAAATGAATCTATTCAAAATTACTCAAGTCATTGACGGAAACTAATGTGTGCCCGCCCGCGTGAAAACATAATATGTCCCGTCATTCGACGGGCGTATAAAAATATATGATTTGTTTCCCCTTGTGATAGGGAATCTTCAAAAGAAAGATCAATACATACACAGAAACACCTGGTGTTAGTGGTGGAGGTGAAACAAGCTTTTTGAACAAGTTATCCTTCCTAGCCTGGCCAGTAGATGTTTTGTAAATTTTCTAAAATTTCAGCAAATTTGAAAAGCTTTATTTTAAGCCGAAAAAAGACGTAGAGCTTCTAGCTTTCAAAATCAATCCGGGGAAAATTCCCCAGATCCCCCATTGGCGCTCACTCAGGCCTTTGACCCTTGGTTTTCTGGACCAGTGCACTTCAAACAGGATCAGTGAATTTTACTTAAACAAGACCTTTGGGCCAGTCACCCCTTTTTTAAATTCCACCCTGAGCAGGTGAAGGTTTGCTACCTGTATCAATGAGGAACACTACTGACCTTCTCTCTGTCAGTCTCAGAACCACTGCTGCCCATCACTGACCGCCGGTCACGCTCCATCCTCAGATTAGCGGTAAGCTGGTCATTCCGTTGTTCAGCATCGTTGAGTGCAAGTTGGAGGGACAGCCTTTCTTTGGCCCAGCTAGCACGCTCCTCAAACTGGTTGGTAGCACCGTCTGTGTTATCTCCGTTCTGTAGGAAGTGACCAGGTGAATTATTTACACATCTATTCTATAGGAAGTGACCAGGTGAAATATTTACACATTCACCAGAGATCGTGTCAAAACCACCAAATGCTTGCCTGTTTAAAATTTGTATCCTATTTAAAAATTTGTTTGTAAAAATGTAATGTTCCAAACAGGTCAAAAGTCAAAAAAGATTTGAAATTATTTTTTAATTTTAACTTCACTTCTCATATTTTACCCGATAGGAACCTCCATGCCAAATATCAGCATCCTAGTACACATATTTAATGAATGACAAGCTTCTAAATAACTTGCAGGTAAAACTTTAACATTTTAACGCCAACGCTCACGCCGGGGGTAACACTATAGCTCCCTGTTCTTCTAAGGACTCAGCACACTTTAACAGAACCAACAATTATAAACTCACTGCATTATTTATCTACTGAGGACTTCACAAGGGCCTTTGAAATTGCAGAAAGAAATATATCTTCTTTTTTTATGAATTTGGAAAAATTATAGCAGAGCATTTTTATATTATTTTCACCTGTATGAAAATTCAAACAATTTTCACCTGTATGACCTAGAATATAGGTCTGACTTGTTCATTAAAACAAAGTTTGTAGCAATACTTTTCAGCTATTGGCTATATCTTATGACTCTAAGCCTTTGTAAGTCACCTGATCAAAACCATATCTTATTACTATAAGCCTTTGTAAGGTACCTGATCAAAACCATATCTTATGACACTAAGCCTTTGTAAGTCGCCTGATCAAAACCATATCTTATGACTCTAAGCCTTTGTAAGTCACCTGATCAAAACCATCATTTTGTTCTTTTGGTATTTGGTAATTGACAACAAAACAAACCTGGTGAGTTGTTCCTCTTTGTTGGTAGCGCCACAGCTGTTCTTCCATTTGACCGAGGGAGTTACGGAGGTCCATCTTCTCTTCCGTCAGGCGTGTCACGAAGCTGGTGAGGTCTGCATTATGACGCAGCACTTGTTCATTAATCAAAGAAGGATTGGGACGTGCCAATAAGTTAGACTCATTCTGTAAGACAGACAAAACTATTATACATCTCAGTAGAACTAATGAGAAGTACATACCCTTCAGGTCATCAGTAAAATCTAATGAATATTAATATATGTTGTTACATATTCTGTAAATGAGAAAAAAAACAAGAGGCCCAATGGGCCTGCAACGCTCACCTGGTATTAATCTCACACTTGTAATCTTAAAAGTGGACCAAAATACAGCTACAGGCAGAATATCAGTGTGACCTTGAATGTCAAACAATGACATTAGGTTGAAAGTGGGTCAAGGTCATTCATTTGAACAAACTTGGTAGCCCTTCATCCCAGCATGCTACTGGCCAAATATCATCACCCTGGGCATTTTGGTTATTCAGAAGAAGTTGTTTAAAAGTTTTAAACATATCTGACCCCTGTGATCTTGAAAATGGATGAAGGTCATTTATTTGAACAAAATTGGTAGCCCTTCATCACAGCATGCTTCTGGCCAAACATCATCACCCTAGGCCTATCGGTTATTCAGAAGAAGTTGTTGAAAGGTTTTAAACATATTTGACCCCTGTAACCTTGAATATAGGTCAAGGTAATTTATTTGAACAAACTTGGTAGCCCTTTATCCCAGCATGCTTCTAGCCAAATATCATCACCCTAGGCCTTTTGGTTACTGAGATGAAGTTGGACGGACGGACGGACGGACGGACGACGGACACCGCACCATGCCATAAGCTCACTTGGCCCTTCGGGCCAGGTGAGCTAATAAGGAATGCTTTTGTAGTACATGAATTTATTTTCTAACATTTTTGTCATTTTATGATTTTTTACAAAATTAATCATACACTTTTTCTAATCACAGAAAAAAGTGAATTTTGATATGGTTATCTACTTTACCTGTGACTCAAACTCCAAAGGCATCTGTAGTTGCTTTAGTTCACTGAGAAGGTCACTGAGTGCATGCTGCATCTCCCCACTTCCGTCAGACCTACCAACATACCAATAGTGTACAAACATACCAACAAGAGGCCCAATGCACCTGCATCATTCACCTGGTATTAATCTCACTATTGTAACCTTAAAAGTGGACTAAAATAAAGCTACAGGCAAAATATCAGTATTTACGACTGTAAGTCATTAAAAATAACCTGTTAAATCTTTCATCACATCTGATGCATGTAACCTTGAAAGTTGAACAAGGTCATTATGTTGAACAAATAAAGCCCTTCATCTCAGCATGCAACTTGCCAAATAATACCACGCTAGACCTTTCCTTTATTGAGATAAGGTCATTTAAAATTAGTTTGTAGCCCTTCATCCCATCCCAGTCAAATATCATTACCCTAGCCCTCTTCATAATTCATCAGAAGTCGATTAAAGGTGCTGTATAGTATACTTACTTGGAGGTGTGGTCTAGACTGTCCCTGTGCTGTATAGTATACTTACTTGGAGGTGCGGTCTAGACTGTCCCTGTGCTGTATAGTATACTTACTTGGAGGTGTGGTCTAGACTGTCCCTGTGCTGTATAGTATACTTACTTGGAGGTGCGGTCTAGACTGTCCCTGTGCTGTATAGTATACTTACTTGGAGGTGTGGTCTAGACTGTCCCTGTGCTGTATAGTATACTTACTTGGAGGTGTGGTCTAGACTGTCCCTGTGCTGTATAGTATACTTACTTGGAGGTGTGGTCTAGACTGTCCCTGTGCTGTATAGTATACTTACTTGGAGGTGTGGTCTAGACTGTCCCTGTGCTGTATAGTATACTTACTTGGAGGTGTGGTCTAGACTGTCCCTGTGCTGTATAGTATACTTACTTGGAGGTGTGGTCTAGACTGTCCCTGTGCTGTATAGTATACTTACTTGGAGGTGTGGTCTAGACTGTCCCTGTGCTGTATAGTATACTTACTTGGAGGTGCGGTCTAGACTGTCCCTGTGCTGTATAGTATACTTACTTGGAGGTGTGGTCTAGACTGTCCCTGTGCTGTATAGTATACTTACTTGGAGGTGTGGTCTAGACTGTCCCTGTGCTGTATAGTATACTTACTTGGAGGTGTGGTCTAGACTGTCCCTGTGCTGTATAGTATACTTACTTGGAGGTGTGGTCTAGACTGTCCCTGTGCTGTATAGTATACTTACTTGGAGGTGTGGTCTAGACTGTCCCTGTGCTGTATAGTATACTTACTTGGAGGTGTGGTCTAGACTGTCCCTGTGCTGTATAGTATACTTACTTGGAGGTGTGGTCTAGACTGTCCCTGTGCTGTATAGTATACTTACTTGGAGGTGTGGTCTAGACTGTCCCTGTGCTGTATAGTATACTTACTTGGAGGTGTGGTCTAGACTGTCCCTGTGCTGTATAGTATACTTACTTGGAGGTGTGGTCTAGACTGTCCCTGTGCTGTATAGTATACTTACTTGGAGGTGTGGTCTAGACTGTCCCTGTGCTGTATAGTATACTGACTTGGAGGTGTGGTCTAGACTGTCCCTGTGCTGTATAGTATACTGACTTGGAGGTGTGGTCTAGACTGTCCCTGTGCTGTATAGTATACTGACTTGGAGGTGTGGTCTAGACTGTCCCTGTGCTGTATAGTATACTGACTTGGAGGTGTGGTCTAGACTGTCCCTGTGCTGTATAGTATACTTACTTGGAGGTGTGGTCTAGACTGTCCCCGTGCTGTATAGTATACTGACTTGGAGGTGTGGTCTAGAGTGTCCCTGTGCTGTATAGTATACTGACTTGGAGGTGTGGTCTAGGCTGTCCCTGTGCTGTATAGTATACTGACTTGGAGGTGTGGTCTAGGGAGTCCCTGTGCTGTTTAGTATACTGACTTGGATGTGTGGTCTAGGGTGTCCCTGTGCTGTATAGTATACTTACTTGGAGGTGCGGTCTAGACTTTCCCCGTGCTGTATAGTATACTCACTTGGAGGTGTGGTCTAGGGTGTCCCTGTGCTGTATAGTATACTTACTTGGAGGTGTGGTCTAGACTTTCCCTGTGCTGTATAGTATACTTACTTGGAGGTGTGGTCTAGACTGTCCCCGTGCTGTATAGTATACTGACTTGGAGGTGTGTTCTAGGGAGTCCCTGTGCTGTTTAGTATACTGACTTGGAGGTGTGGTCTAGACTGTCCCTGTGCTGTATAGTATACTTACTTGGAGGTGCGGTCTAGACTGTCCCTGTGCTGTAGAATGAGGTACTGCAGACTCTGGCTCAAACTCTGGAGCTGAGCCTTGTAAACATTCCATCGATCGTGATTGGTATTTGTTGTTGTTGTTCCTCGCGGTGATCCGTTGTTCTGTAACTGTACACAATGGCATCATAAGACAATGTTTAGATTTCTAATAAAATAATCGTTGTCAAATTAGATCAACGGAGATGTCCCCAGAGAAAAGTGTTCATAATTAGAATCTGCAGGGACCTACCGAGGGAAGAGACAGATTTTTTTATTCTGTTGGGATATTCCCATGAATGATATAAATAGAACTTGTCATATTGTTGGGATCTGTTTAGGATAATGATAGAAACTTTCACACTATTGGTGTCTCCCCATGACATAGAACTTTGTGCTCTGTTGGGATGTCCTAAAGATATAAATAGAACTTTTTACTCTGTTGGGATGTCCTAAAGATATAAATAGAACTTTTTACTCTGTTGGGATGTCCTAAACATATAGAGCTTATAGAACTTTACACATTTATTGGGTTCCCTCCTTGGATGTTGAGTGTTTCAATCTGCTGCAACCTCCCAAAGATATAAATAGAAGTTTTCAATTTGTTGAGATCTCCCTAATATATAAATAGAACTTTTTTTACTTTTGGATCTTTCCAAGTTATATTTAACTTTACTTTTCATTGTCTTAGGATCTCTCAAAGATATAAATAGAACTTTTTATGCTATTGGGATCTCCCTGTGATATAATTAAAACTTTTCACTGATGGGATTTCCCCAAAAATGAACTCTATTACAGATAGGTTCTTCCCAGGAGAAAATTAGCCATCCATTACAGGATCTTTATTAAAGCTATGTAGGTTTGATCTTTTCCCTTCGTTTCCCTTTTCTTTTTGTTGGATTAATTTTCAGGTCACAGATGAGATTTAAAAAAGATTTATCTAGTACTAAATATAGTTAGAAATAGACTTATTTAAGGACAGATAAAGGTGAATATGAACAATAATTTTCAGCAATGCCAATTTTAGCCCCGCACCCACCCCCATCTGACAATGTTAGGCAGAATATCTACATTGGTTTTACTATCTATTCTCAGTTGTAAGCAGCTTACCCCATCATATAGCTGAGAGTGAATGGTGGACAGACGTTCATGTTCCAGGTCACGGATAGCCTCCAGCTCCTTCTCACGACTTTCAGCCACCTGATCCTGTAGGTCTAACACCTTCTGTGTGAGTCTCTGAGTCTCCAACGTCTGTTCGTGCTGGGGACACAGTTATAATGATTAAATATGTAGATGAATGTAGATGGTCCTACACACAATGTGTTACAACATAACTATATTAATAATAATTTGAGGTTCTTATTCCGTCTTTTCGTTTTACAGAGTTATCTGCTCTTGTGAGCAGGTCTTGATTGTTACGTCATTTGTTTGTGAGAGTAACGTCATCAATTTTTGAGAAAAGAACGTAATTTTCTCACACAAATCAATGACGTAACAATCAATACCTGCTCACAAGAGAAAATAACTCTGCAATACGCAGACGGAATATACCGTTTTATCACAACCTAGTTCGTAGATCGTCTCAAAGAGGTTCACAAATTATTATCCATGGTTAACGTTATAGGGCCTTTGCAACCAGCCAATATCTTTCTCAACTCCCTAGGGAGCATACAGCCGGTGCTGCCATTTCGGCGCTCACAGCTAGCATTCTACAATTCTATCACTGTCCTACCACATACTTATTTACAGCTGAGTAGACTGGAACAAGGGGAGTAAAGTATCTTGCTCAAAGATACAACACAGTGTCGTGCTGCGACTCGAACCCGCAACCCTTCGGTCATGAGCCTGACATCCTACCACTAGACTACTGCGCTGCCTTAACATACACTATGGTAAGGTGTCCACATTATCGTCCTATACAGAGTATGACTTGAGGTTATGAAGCTTTCATGACCAATTGCCTACCCATCCACAGGAATATTACTTTACAGGTGACATGTACTGTAATATAGTGATGTTTATTGTTTGTGTGCTATATGTCCAGTCTGAACTCTATCCATCAAATACATGTGTGCTACAGGTTCAGTCTGAACTCTATCCATCAAATACATGTGTGCTACAGGTTCAGTCTGAACTCTATCCATCAAATACATGTGTGCTACAGGTTCAGTCTGAACTCTATCCATCAAATACATGTGTGCTACAGGTTCAGTCTGAACTCTATCCATCAAATACATGTGTGCTACAGGTTCAGTCTGAACTCTATCCATCAAATACATGTGTGCTACAGGTTCAGTCTGAACTCTATCCATCAAATACATGTGTGCTACAGGTTCAGTCTGAACTCTATCCATCAAATACATGTGTGCTACAGGTTCAGTCTGAACTCTATCCATCAAATACATGTGTGCTACAGGTTCAGTCTGAACTCTATCCATCAAATACATGTGTGCTACAGGTTCAGTCTGAACTCTATCCATCAAATACATGTGTGCTACAGGTTCAGTCTGAACTCTATCCATCAAATACATGTGTGCTACAGGTTCAGTCTGAACTCTATCCATCAAATACATGTGTGCTACAGGTTCAGTCTGAACTCTATCCATCAAATACATGTGTGCTACAGGTTCAGTCTGAACTCTATCCATCAAATACATGTGTGCTACAGGTTCAGTCTGAACTCTATCCATCAAATACATGTGTGCTACAGGTTCAGTCTGAACTCTATCCATCAAATACATGTGTGCTACAGGTTCAGTCTGAACTCTATCCATCAAATACATGTGTGCTACAGGTTCAGTCTGAACTCTATCCATCAAATACATGTGTGCTACAGGTTCAGTCTGAACTCTATCCATCAAATACATGTGTGCTACAGGTTCAGTCTGAACTCTATCCATCAAATACATGTGTGCTACAGGTTCAGTCTGAACTCTATCCATCAAATACATGTGTGCTACAGGTTCAGTCTGAACTCTATCCATCAAATACATGTGTGCTACAGGTTCAGTCTGAACTCTATCCATCAAATACATGTGTGCTACAGGTTCAGTCTGAACTCTATCCATCAAATACATGTGTGCTACAGGTTCAGTCTGAACTCTATCCATCAAATACATGTGTGCTACAGGTTCAGTCTGAACTCTATCCATCAAATACATGTGTGCTACAGGTTCAGTCTGAACTCTATCCATCAAATACATGTGTGCTACAGGTTCAGTCTGAACTCTATCCATCAAATACATGTGTGCTACAGGTTCAGTCTGAACTCTATCCATCAAATACATGTGTGCTACAGGTTCAGTCTGAACTCTATCCATCAAATACATGTGTGCTACAGGTTCAGTCTGAACTCTATCCATCAAATACATGTGTGCTACAGGTTCAGTCTGAACTCTATCCATCAAATACATGTGTGCTACAGGTTCAGTCTGAACTCTATCCATCAAATACATGTGTGCTACAGGTTCAGTCTGAACTCTATCCATCAAATACATGTGTGCTACAGGTTCAGTCTGAACTCTATCCATCAAATACATGTGTGCTACAGGTTCAGTCTGAACTCTATCCATCAAATACATGTGTGCTACAGGTTCAGTCTGAACTCTATCCATCAAATACATGTGTGCTACAGGTTCAGTCTGAACTCTATCCATCAAATACATGTGTGCTACAGGTTCAGTCTGAACTCTATCCATCAAATACATGTGTGCTACAGGTTCAGTCTGAACTCTATCCATCAAATACATGTGTGCTACAGGTTCAGTCTGAACTCTATCCATCAAATACATGTGTGCTACAGGTTCAGTCTGAACTCTATCCATCAAATACATGTGTGCTACAGGTTCAGTCTGAACTCTATCCATCAAATACATGTGTGCTACAGGTTCAGTCTGAACTCTATCCATCAAATACATGTGTGCTACAGGTTCAGTCTGAACTCTATCCATCAAATACATGTGTGCTACAGGTTCAGTCTGAACTCTATCCATCAAATACATGTGTGCTACAGGTTCAGTCTGAACTCTATCCATCAAATACATGTGTGCTACAGGTTCAGTCTGAACTCTATCCATCAAATACATGTGTGCTACAGGTTCAGTCTGAACTCTATCCATCAAATACATGTGTGCTACAGGTTCAGTCTGAACTCTATCCATCAAATACATGTGTGCTACAGGTTCAGTCTGAACTCTATCCATCAAATACATGTGTGCTACAGGTTCAGTCTGAACTCTATCCATCAAATACATGTGTGCTACAGGTTCAGTCTGAACTCTATCCATCAAATACATGTGTGCTACAGGTTCAGTCTGAACTCTATCCATCAAATACATGTGTGCTACAGGTTCAGTCTGAACTCTATCCATCAAATACATGTGTGCTACAGGTTCAGTCTGAACTCTATCCATCAAATACATGTGTGCTACAGGTTCAGTCTGAACTCTATCCATCAAATACATGTGTGCTACAGGTTCAGTCTGAACTCTATCCATCAAATACATGTGTGCTACAGGTTCAGTCTGAACTCTATCCATCAAATACATGTGTGCTACAGGTTCAGTCTGAACTCTATCCATCAAATACATGTGTGCTACAGGTTCAGTCTGAACTCTATCCATCAAATACATGTGTGCTACAGGTTCAGTCTGAACTCTATCCATCAAATACATGTGTGCTACAGGTTCAGTCTGAACTCTATCCATCAAATACATGTGTGCTACAGGTTCAGTCTGAACTCTATCCATCAAATACATGTGTGCTACAGGTTCAGTCTGAACTCTATCCATCAAATACATGTGTGCTACAGGTTCAGTCTGAACTCTATCCATCAAATACATGTGTGCTACAGGTTCAGTCTGAACTCTATCCATCAAATACATGTGTGCTACAGGTTCAGTCTGAACTCTATCCATCAAATACATGTGTGCTACAGGTTCAGTCTGAACTCTATCCATCAAATACATGTGTGCTACAGGTTCAGTCTGAACTCTATCCATCAAATACATGTGTGCTACAGGTTCAGTCTGAACTCTATCCATCAAATACATGTGTGCTACAGGTTCAGTCTGAACTCTATCCATCAAATACATGTGTGCTACAGGTTCAGTCTGAACTCTATCCATCAAATACATGTGTGCTACAGGTTCAGTCTGAACTCTATCCATCAAATACATGTGTGCTACAGGTTCAGTCTGAACTCTATCCATCAAATACATGTGTGCTACAGGTTCAGTCTGAACTCTATCCATCAAATACATGTGTGCTACAGGTTCAGTCTGAACTCTATCCATCAAATACATGTGTGCTACAGGTTCAGTCTGAACTCTATCCATCAAATACATGTGTGCTACAGGTTCAGTCTGAACTCTATCCATCAAATACATGTGTGCTACAGGTTCAGTCTGAACTCTATCCATCAAATACATGTAATATATATATAAATGTATGTAAAAAGTTTACTTTAAAATTATTTATTTTATTCACTTTTAAAAACTAATTCTCCCAGTGCTGATTCTGCCTTTCCTTTGATTCCCCTACTCAGACGAATATTGAATATAAGATGGGAGCCATCTTGAAGAGTCGATCCTTTAAACTTAAATATTTCATTCAACAGCAAAGAATTCTCTATTCATTTGTTTAATATCATATTTTCATCGTCATTTTTAAGTAAATTCTTTTATTGCTTTAAGTGGTAATCCTGATATATTTAAGTTCCTGGTACATTAATGTAACATAAAAATCACTGATGTTTGTAGGAAAATACAAGTTCCATGCTATAATAGGCCACTATAAAATAGCCTGGAATGTTTTGGATAACACAGATTTTGTTTATACCAAAATAAAGCCATATCAATACAATTATTGCCAGATCTGATATGAAACTACACAGCAAAGCTACAAAACCCATTTCTTTGTAAAACACAGCGCTATGACAAAGTGTTGGCGACGTCATCCTAGTTCACTTGGTATGTTCTAAGGAGATCCCTCATCTGGTCACCAATGCCTTTCTTTTTTACATCTAATTACATTCAAGCTTTCTATAACTCAATCCCCCATTGTCTGTAGGCAGTAATACAATCAAAAGGGCACCTCAGCAAATATTAGGTAAGTTCGATGACATTTTTCATGTCTAATCCAATGTTTAACGCTTGAAACATTTCCTTGTTTATGTCCGCCATCTTAAGAAACCGTGAACACTATTGTCATAACACTGTACATCACAAGCATCATACACTGCACAGTTAAAGCCACACAAAGCAACAACGTAAACAACTAAATTACATATAAAATATTAAGAGAAGCAACAATATATTAATCAGTCATTTAAAGCAACAAAAAACAATAAACAAAGCAATTGAAAGCATTAAATATGAACAAGATATAAAAAGCATTAAATATGAACAAGATATAAAAAGCATTAAATATGAACAAGATATAAAAAGCATTAAATATGAACAAGACGTGTATAATGAAATGTATTATGTTGAACGATTGATGATAAGACTGTCTAAGATGATATTCAGATTTATGTCAAAGTTAAGTCATGAAGAGGGCAGTGGAAGCTATTAGTAAATGTTTGTAATTAGTACATTTCCTGCTGAAAGCCTTTTTTTCTGTTACCCCTTGTAGCTCTGGGAATCAAAATCTAGCCTAATCTTGGATATTTTCCCAATGTTTAGCAGTTGATTTTCTTCTAACAGTAAGTAAATGAGAATGTATCTGGTTTGATTAAAAAGCTAGGCTCATTCACGTGCTTTCATTCTGAAACGAAAGCAGGAACAACAAATCCAACCCAATAAATACTTGAGACTATTCCAACATCCAAAGGTATTATTGTTACCAGTTTCATCTTGTGATCATCCCTCTCCCGCTCCACCTGTCGTAGTCGACGCCTTTCTGACATTTTCTCTGTGTCACGTTGTCGCTCTCGTTCATTATCAGCATCCTTTATGGCCTTTACCTCTGATCGCAGTTGTTCTCGCTCAGCCTTCAGACGCGACACCTGGTCCCGCTCGCGATCAAACATTCGAGTGAACTCCAGATTCTGTAGCTACAAGGTCCAGGAAATGTTTGTCTAGCTTTTTCAGGGTCAAATTGATATCACATACAAATATTGGTCTTGTAACTTATTTTCAGCCTTAATAATTCTGGTAAACTGAACGATCTTGTGACCTCATTGTCATCAGTAAAATTGGTTTTGTCAGTGAGGGTTTGAGAAATGCTTGTATTTTACACTGAAGTCCTAAGTAACATCATTTTTGTTATGAACTAAGCTGGTGATATTTTACTTACAAGTAGAAATTTTGGAGTGTAGTATGCAAGTATTCGGTCTACTGTAATCTTTCCACGTAGCATCTATAGTTAACCTGTCAGTAATTTGCATTGGGAACAAGTGTTAATTTGTGCTGGGGAACATTGTGTCAAATGGAGAAGGGGTTAGGGGTGTGAGTTTAGAGAGGAAACATTTTCTTCATGGTAAAAGTTATGAAAAGATTGTGATTTAAACAATGCAAACAAACCTTCTTTTTTTTAATTCTTTTTTTGTTTTTTTGCCATATTATATGAAATGTTTAGTAAACTTTGAGAAAATACTGAGCCCTAAATTTGGTCCCCAAAAGGACTTAAGATATCAAAATATGGTCAGATACAGCATACAACAGGCAATGCTAATCCATAATGAATGTTGACATGTAAGTAACATCGTGATTTAAACATTTCCATACCAAGTCATTCTAAAAAAGCAGGAGATAATTGAGAGGACATCTTTGTTGTTTGTATTTGTAGATTTCTCTTTTTTAAAGAAAATCCTTGAAGATGTGCAACTTCATTTCAAAATGAGTTGGAAGTATTCATCTAGATTTAGTTTAAACTAAGCATTTTCATCATCACCAAAACAAAGTATCTTAGAAAGAAAAGCCAGGGTTTAAAGCTTTATCAATCTACCAAAATGTCAGTCTTTACTGATGTCATGCACTTACTTGTAGGAAATCTATGTTACTATACATTACTGTGATGTAGGAAATCCCTGTTACTATACATGACCGTGATGTAGTAAATCCATGTTACTATACATGACTGTGATGTAGAAAATCTGTTACTATACATTACTGTGATGTAGGAAATCTATGTTACTATACATTACCGTGATGTAGGAAATCTATGTTACTATACATTACTGTGATGTAGGAAATCTATGTTACTATACATTACTGTGATGTAGGAAATCTATGTTACTATACATTACTGTGATGTAGGAAATCTATGTTACTATACATTACTGTGATGTAGGAAATCTATGTTACTATACATTACTGTGATGTAGGAAATCTATGTTACTATACATTACTGTGATGTAGGAAATCTATGTTACTATACATTACTGTGATGTAGGAAATCTATGTTACTATACATTACTGTGATGTAGGAAATCTATGTTACTATACATTACTGTGATGTAGGAAATCTATGTTACTATACATTACTGTGATGTAGGAAATCTATGTTACTATACATTACTGTGATGTAGGAAATCTATGTTACTATACATTACTGTGATGTAGGAAATCTATGTTACTATACATTACTGTGATGTAGGAAATCTATGTTACTATACATTACTGTGATGTAGGAAATCTATGTTACTATACATTACTGTGATGTAGGAAATCTATGTTACTATACATTACTGTGATGTAGGAAATCTATGTTACTATACATTACTGTGATGTAGGAAATCTATGTTACTATACATTACTGTGATGTAGGAAATCTATGTTACTATACATTACTGTGATGTAGGAAATCTATGTTACTATACATTACTGTGATGTAGGAAATCTATGTTACTATACATTACTGTGATGTAGGAAATCTATGTTACTATACATTACTGTGATGTAGGAAATCTATGTTACTATACATTACTGTGATGTAGGAAATCTATGTTACTATACATTACTGTGATGTAGGAAATCTATGTTACTATACATTACTGTGATGTAGGAAATCTATGTTACTATACATTACTGTGATGTAGGAAATCTATGTTACTATACATTACTGTGATGTAGGAAATCTATGTTACTATACATTACTGTGATGTAGGAAATCTATGTTACTATACATTACTGTGATGTAGGAAATCTATGTTACTATACATTACTGTGATGTAGGAAATCTATGTTACTATACATTACTGTGATGTAGGAAATCTATGTTACTATACATTACTGTGATGTAGGAAATCTATGTTACTATACATTACTGTGATGTAGGAAATCTATGTTACTATACATTACTGTGATGTAGGAAATCTATGTTACTATACATTACTGTGATGTAGGAAATCTATGTTACTATACATTACTGTGATGTAGGAAATCTATGTTACTATACATTACTGTGATGTAGGAAATCTATGTTACTATACATTACTGTGATGTAGGAAATCTATGTTACTATACATTACTGTGATGTAGGAAATCTATGTTACTATACATTACTGTGATGTAGGAAATCTATGTTACTATACATTACTGTGATGTAGGAAATCTATGTTACTATACATTACTGTGATGTAGGAAATCTATGTTACTATACATTACTGTGATGTAGGAAATCTATGTTACTATACATTACTGTGATGTAGGAAATCTATGTTACTATACATTACTGTGATGTAGGAAATCTATGTTACTATACATTACTGTGATGTAGGAAATCTATGTTACTATACATTACTGTGATGTAGGAAATCTATGTTACTATACATTACTGTGATGTAGGAAATCCATGTTACTATACATTACTGTGATGTAGGAAATCTATGTTACTATACATTACTGTGATGTAGGAAATCTATATTACTATACAATACCGTGATGTAGGAAATCTATATTACTATACATTACCGTGATGTAGGAAATCTATGTTACTATACATTACTGTGATGTAGGAAATCTATGTTACTATACATTACCGTGATGTAGGAAATCTATGTTACTTTACATTACTCTGATGTAGGAAATCTATGTTACTATACATTACTGTGATGTTACAATGGTGTTAGGGCAAGGAACACGGGCAATGTTAATGAGCAAAACCTACATGTATTAATACTGATGTATGAAAATGAAATGTAAAAGTTAATAAATTTCTTAAAGTAAAAGTAAATAAATATATCTGTAAGTCTAAGTGTAATATTCAATCGTCACAAGCTCGGAATAGGTAGGTATATTTATTTGTTGCATCTATCGAATTCACCCGAACAGTGGGCTTCTTCTGGACATTTTTTATGATCACTTTTACCCTTAAAGTACTAAAAATGTCAAAGGAATAATAAGCCCACAAAGAACGAATATCTCTCCACAGAGTAAACTTGATAAAAGTTCTAGGAATCTTTTTTTTAAGGATACATCCTCTGTACCAAATTGACCTCATTTCTGTGGCCCAGGCCCCTATACACTACTGTCCCATGCCCCTGTACACTGCTGTCCAAGGCCCCTGTACACTACTGTCCAAGGCCCCTGTACACTACAGTCCCAGGCCCCTGTACACTGCTGTCCGAGGCCCCTGTACGCTGCTGTCCCATGCCCCTGTACAGTACTGTCCCAGGCCCCTGTACACTGCTGTCCCAGGCCCCTGTACACCACTGTCCCAGGCCCCTGTACATTACTTTCCAAGGCCCCTGTACACTACTGTCACAGGCCCCTGTACACTACTGACCCCGGCCCCTGTACACTACTGCCCCGGGCCCCTGTACACTTCTGTCCCATGCCCCTGTACACTCCTGTCCCAGGCCCCTGTACATTGCTGGCCCAGGCCCCTGTACACTACTGCACCAGGCCCCCGTACACTACTGACCCCGGCCCCTGTACACTACTGACCAAGGCCCCTGTACACTACTGTCCCAGGCCCCTGTACACTACTGCCCCAGGCCCCTGTACACTTCTGTCCCAGGCTCCTGTACACTACTGACCCAGGCCCCTGTACACTACTGTCCCAGGCCCCTGTACACTACTGACCCAGGCCCATGTACACTACTGTCCCAGGCACCCATACACTACTGTCCCAGGCCAATGTACACTACTGTCCCAGGCCCCTGTACACTACTGCCCCAGGCCCCTGTACACTGCTGACCACATTCTAATTGGATTGATGACAAGTAACAACAGCACTAAGTAAGATCATTACTGCACTAAAAGATAAAGAGCTAATACACAACACTGAACACCTAAGACAATCTCAGTTTTGACGTGTCAATATAAATGATATATACCTGTAGTGTGTCAAGCTCATGTTTTATCTGACGAGTTGTCTCCCTTTCCTGTCCCAGCTCATCCTGCATGGCTGTCCGTTCTGATTCTACAGCAGCAGCCATCCCAGCCATACGATGCTTGTCATGTTCCAGTGCACCTCGCAAATCCATCACCATGGCTTTTTCCATTTCCAAGGCAAGCTGAAGGTCCTCCACAATTCCTTTGTTGTCAGATATTTCCATAGAACTTTGTTGTTCATACAAGTTTTGCCGCAGGTTATGACAGGCAGCTTGCTCTTTCTCCAGAGCACTGAAAACACAAATATCGCTCTAGATTCACAAAAACAAGAATATCGGTCTAAATCCACAAAAACACCTTTTTTTACAATCGATGTTTGCAGTAGGATGAAGGAAAATTCCATCATGATCATCAAATTGCTAAATCTTGCATCAAATCTGTTGGAAATGAAAACATGACCTTTTCTCTATGTTACTTTATTTACTTGTCTATTATCAGAAAAAATATTCTGAAGAAAAGTTCAGGATTGAATTTGTATAAAATATCATAACCAATTTAATGAAAATAGACAAAAAAACAACAACTGGTGAAACAAGACACTCACTTGACTAGATCTGCAGCGCGGATTTTCTCGAGCTCAAGAGCTGTTCTTAACTCTGTCACTTTAGTTTCATATTCTGCCTCAAACATCTGCAAGTTTTTACGCTCCGTGTTAAGATCATGTTGGAGGGCATTGATCTTCACTCGATCTAGTTCATGAGAATTCTCCAACTTTATTCTGAGGTCACGTTCTGTCATCAGGTCCGACTCCAGTTTCTGAGAAAACACATATTTAATCTAGAATTATGTTCCACATTAAATAAAGGAATTTTAGCCAAACATAAAAACACAGCAACACCTACAGTTGTTTAAACAGTAAAATGATCACTTGGTGTTTTTATGAATTCTAATGGCGATTGGCAATGATTGTTTCTTAGATTCCCTATAGTTATTACTTCATAAACACATGTTATTACATATACACATTACTACATATACACTTTACTATATATACACGTTACTACATATACACGTTATTACATATACATGTTACTACATATACACATTACTACATATACACATTACTACATAAACACATTACTACATATACACGTTACTACATATACATGTTACTTCATATACACATTACTACATATTCATGTTACTTCATATACACTTTACTACATAGACATGTTACTACATAGACATGTTACTACACATACACGTTAATACATATACACGTTACTACATAATACATGTTACTACATATACACATGTTACTTCATATACACGTTACTACATATACATGTTACTACATATAAATGTTACTACATATACACGTTACTACATATACACATTACTACATATATACATTACTACATATACACTTTACTACATATACCTGTTACTTCATAAACACATGTAACTACATATACACATTACTACATATACATGTTATTACATATACACATTACTACTTATACATGTTACTAAATATACACGTTACTACATATACATTTTACTAAATATACATGTATATAAAACTTCTTGTTTGATTTTTTTTATAAGTTCATGTAATATCTTGTTATTAGGTTATGGACCTTCCCCATTACCAACTGATGTAATTAGTCACGACATTTACAAAAGAATTCTTCACTACTGACCTCAATGGTGCTGTTGATCTTGTCCCTGACCTCCGTCCTGACCTTAGCATCCTCAAGGTCATTCTTGAGGTCACGAACTTTATATTTCTCGGCTTCCAACCTCTCTCCAAGGGTGTGACATTTCCCCTTCTCCTCCTCCAAGGCACCCCTGGGCAACACAAGCAATCAACTAAAGATACAATCCCATATTTCATATACCAAAGATAATCAATCCTTTTATTTAGATTATTCAGAGGCTTAAGTAAATAGTCTTTTTGGTTAAATGTTTGGTGCATCTACTCAGAATTATGTTTTACTGCAATTTAAGTCAATTAAAGATATTACATCTTGGAAAAAATCATTCCTTTCAAATATACTTCAAAGGTTTTTATTTCAATTCAAAGGTATTTGAAAAAAAGAAAATATATATATAATATTGTGATAACTTCTCATAAAGTTTCAATTCAAATCTCAATGATCATGTGATAAAATAGATATCATGTCATATGACTGATCATGTGACCAGTCATGATGTAAGATTGGTAGGAAGAATGGCACTGTGAATTGACACAGTAGTCAGAACTGATAACTGGCAGTCATAATTCAAATAGCATTCCTCAAGCATTCTCATGTGGGCTTCAGATAGCATTCCTCAAGCATTCTCATGTGGGCTTCAGATAGCATTCCTCAAGCATTCTCATGTGGGCTTCAGATAGCAACCTCAAGCATTCTCATTAGGAAATCTAGTAATTCCGTTTATAGACAGTCTTCTGAAATTTCTTATTGATGAGAAATTAAGTTTATAGACAGTCTTCTGAGATTTCTTATTGATGAGAAGTTAAGTTTATAGACAGTCTTCTGAGATTTCTTATTGATGAGTAATAAGTTTATAGACAGTTTTCTGAGATTTTTTAAGATTTCTTAAGAAACAATAAGATTAAGAAAATCTATATTCTCTGCTTGTAGGTTGAGTTTTGGTGTAAGCATACTGTTACACAGGACTGGGGATCCTAAGCACACAAGCCGGATATAATTTGCTTTATACAGGAGATGGATGTTTGGATACTAAATAAAGTACATTTTTGTCTCACAAATTGTAAAGGCACATAAACTAACTAACCAATCAGAAATATGTGGCCTCATTAATTATCAATCAAACTGACAATCAAATCTGGTTGAAATTGAACCACTTTTCAGTCAGTTATTGCACAGAAACCAATCAATCAGAAATCACTCACAAGACTTAGCCTGACACTGGTCAACGTCTGGTTTCAACCAATCAGAAATTACTCACAAAACTTAGCCTGACACAGGTCAACGTCTGGTTTCAACCAATCAGAAATCAATCACAAAACTTAGCCTGACACTGGTCAACGTCTGGTTTCAACCAATCAGAAATCACTCACAAAACCTAGCCTGACACTTGTCAACGTCTGGTTTCAACCAATCAGAAATCACTCACAAAAATTAGCCTGACACTGGTCAACGTCTGGTTTCAACCAATCAGAAATCACTCACAAAACTTAGCCTGACACTGGTCAACGTCTATGTGTGCAATAATTTTGGTTGAAATTGAACCAATCGTAGGGGAAGTATTTCATAGAAATCCATTAAACCTCCAGTTGTGGGTAACATCAATATTTATGTGTATAAAGTCAGCCAGCAGACACATACTTTATAAGTACATGTATAATAGATAAGGGCTGAACACATCATTTAGACAGATATTGGTGAATAGGTACACAGGTGAGGGTTACACACAGGATACACACATCACACGTGAAGGAGGGGAGTGTAGATACACACAGGAAACACACATCACATGTGTAGGAGGGGAGTATAGATACACACAGGATACACACATCACATGTGTAGGAGCAGAGTGTCAATATCAAACTGCTGCAATTAACACAAAAGCATATATCTATTTTCTTTAATAAATCAAATTCTAAATAACATAAATATATCTACATTTAAATTCAGTTCTCTTTCCATTCAAATACTAAGATATCTGAATCAATACAAAGTTAATATATTTTTTATAATTTGATTGAAAAATATTTCATTTCATATATAAAATAAATAATTTTGTTGTTACTTTATTTTTCTCCAGGAATTCTTCTGTCACAGACAGATGTCAGTAATGTGTTTTAGGGGACTATCACAGATGTCAGTCATTAGTTTTAGGGGTCTATCACAGATGTCAGTCATGTGTTTTAGGGGACTATCACAGATGTCAGTAATGTGTTTTAGGGGACTATCATAGATGTCAGTAATGTGTTTCAGGGGAATATAGCAGATTTTGTTAGTGGTATTCTTGGATATATTGAGGACAGAAATAGACATCCTTATCTTCAGGATAGAAATCAGGGAATATTGTCAGTGTTAATACACACAGGTAAAAATCTAATAAATAACTCTCACAAAATATATTACCCCAAAGCAAAAATATCGTTGTAAATACCACTGTTAATCAAAAACACATGTTCCTTATGAAATATTGATGCTAATCAATGGAAGTTCTTTTTTCCTTGGAAAAGAAAAAAACGATCAATTCAAAGCAAATTCAAGGCAACAACGTAGCACGCCAGTTTTTCTATGTAAATCAGAGAGGGTCAGCTAGCTATGACCTCACAAAGGTCAGTAGTAGGGTGACCAGCTTTTCGTACAAAGCCATTAACTTGGTCCAGCAGTAATGAACTGATGCGGTTCTAATTAATTTGGTCATACAAAGCCATTAACTTGGTCCAGCAGTAATGAACTGATGCGGTTCTAATTAATTTGGTCATACAAAGCCATTAACTTGGTCCAGCAGTAATGAACTGATGCGGTTCTAATTAATTTGGTCATACAAAGCCATTAACTTGGTCCAGCAGTAATGAACTGATGCGGTTCTAATTAATTTGGTCATACAAAGCCATTAACTTGGTCCAGCAGTAATGAACTGATGCGGTTCTAATTAATTTGGTCATACAAAGCCATTAACTTGGTCCAGCAGTAATGAACTGATGCGGTTCTAATTAATTTGGTCATACAAAGCCATTAACTTGGTCCAGCAGTAATGAACTGATGCGGTTCTAATTAATTTGGTCATACAAAGCCATTCAATTGTAATAGCATCAGCCTAGGTTATTAAACAAGTTTATCAGAAAATCAAGCTTTAACGATAAGTCAATGCACTATAATTAAACATGTCATGTGATGTACTATAAATAGAATGTAACACGGGTCCATAGAAAACTGGCTCATTTTTTTTATTTTTTAAAAGATACATGACATTTCACTGGTTCAGTCCTGTTTAAATACTGATCTCACATCAGTTAACCCTGTGTCAGACTGTACAGCAGGAAACTTGACTTTGTGTAGTAACTCTAGATTCAATTACCAAAAAAATTGTATCAGCAAAACTGTTTGACAATGGTAAACCTTAGAAAACAATAGGAAAGTTTCATGCTACACAGTATGTAAGCTGCGTAAAAAGATACCACATATCTGGTTTCTTCTCAAGAATTTGTTTTTAATTTTTTAATTGAAAATTTTATAATACATATTATTTTGCCTTTTCTAACCAGTTAATTATAAAACTATTAGAACCCGTGTTACAGCCGAACGAGTCACATGACAACAGAACGAGTCACATGACAACACAAACATGCGTAACACTACAGGTTTAAACATCAAGCATTCTGACCAATCAACAAAGCCAGCAATTCAACCAATCAGGATGGCCGTCTAACTTACACTAAAGCGTCCCACATGTGACTGAAGGGAAAAGAGATACACATATATATCTACATACATCATCACTATGGTTACACAGAGATATATCTACATACATCATCACTATGGTTACAACAATAAAATACTGCAGATCAGTAGTTGATGATTACAACAAAAATATTGTATTCATGGGCAGTTTACTATCACATTGCTGTTAAAGTTACAACATTGACAAGGTTTCTATGGATACACGTTACATTGTAGCTAGTATATTGGTCTTAGTGTAATTATATAGAGTTCTGTATATATAGATATTGTATGGGTATATGTTGTAGCTAGTCTATTGGTCTTAGTGTAATTATATAGACTTCTGTATATATATAGATTTTGTTTGGTATACGTTGACGAGTATATTTTAGAGTTATATGTTGTAGTCAGTGTAGGACCCAGAAGGTCTAGTGTAATAGTCGGAGTATAGAGAGTAGATATAGTTTATAGATTACAAATACTGTTAATCAATTAATTTTTGTGTACAACAGTCCGTACCTCAAAAAAGTTATTTCTAAGGATTTAAAATTCACAAAATAAATGATCTCAAATGAAATCTCACTTGATATTTAAATGATCAATTCCATTTTTATGCACAGATATGTATCTCAACAAAAGTGATTGATTGACAGTATTACGACTCAGTGCTATGGGTACATCCTGACTATCGGTTTATCACATACCCAACTTCTTCTCCACTGGAATCAAATTCAAACTTAACACTTAAAAACCACTGAACCCTTCCACTGTTACCAGAATGCTGTGATGTCTCTTTCACTTATAGAGATGACACAGTGACCTGGTCATGTTACTGCCGAACTCATCAACACACTACTACAACATTATGTAAACCAAGACTTTATGCTCATAACAGCATTCAACATGTTACTTGTTGTAGCTAGCCTTTCTGGATCCCAGCTCAAATGTTTTACAGAGAGGGAAGTTAAAATTAAGATAGGTTCTCTGAGAGATGCACACATTTACATGTCCAATATATAGATCTCCTAAGATCACAAAAACAGGGTTCCTGTTTCACTGGTCTGGTCATTTGTTTTATTGAACCAAAAAATAAAACAGGGAAAATAATACATGTACTGAAAATAACAATAAAATGGAAAAAGATTAAATGTAGAACTAAATACTTACGTTACAGAGACAAATCTACTCTGTTCACGCTCCAGACTCTCTTTGAGTTTGGCGACCTGGAGATTAAGATTTGACACGTCGGTCTGATGGTCGAGATTGCTCATCTTTTCTCGACTCAGGGTACTAGAGAGCTCGGTGTTTCGCTCGCGCTCTGTGTCCAAACTAGTGCGAACATCATCTTGAAGGATCTTCTCCTGTTGAAGTTTGTACTCCAGAAGTTTGACTGTAAAACAAACACCAGAGATTTTACAGACAGCCTTCATTTGTTATAGATACCAAACTATATCAGACAGTGCCATTCACTGAGTCTTCCGGAGATAGTAACATAAAACATGTTCACAACAGGTGAACTTACATCAAGTACAAACAAACACACAAAAACCAAAATTTAGACGACCAAACATTGTTTTCTGTTAAAGTGTTCACCATTTAGCGCGCTCACCAACCTCAAGAGGTCTTTACATACAAAATTGGCATTTTAGGGTGACAGGGTAATACAAAAATCCCACAAATAGATTGACAGCAAACAAGGGGCCATAACTCTGTAAATAATTGGATACAAACCAGACTTCAGTATGTGGAACTCTACCATCACAAAAGGTCGTCTCAAACAAAGGTACAATAATAAGTAAAAGGTTAAATGAGAAATGCCTGATCAAAGAAACACACTGACTGACAGAACAATGAAAGGGTGGTAAACATACAGTCCCCTCTAGTAGTACCAGGGACTAATACAGTCCCCTCTAGTAAAGGTTAAATGAGAAATGCCTGATCAAAGAAACACACTGACGGACAGAACAATGAAAGGGTGGTAAACATACAGCCCCCTCTAGTAGTACCAGGGACTGACGGAACAATGAACGGGTGGTAAACATACAGTCCCCTCTACTAGTACCAGGGACTAACAGAACAGCGAACGGGTTATAAACATACAGTCCCGTCCAGTAGTACCAGGGACTGACATAACAATGAACGGGTTGTAATCATACAGTCCCCTCTCGTAGTCCAAGGGACATGCAGTCCCCTCTAGTAGTACCAGGTACATACAGTCCCCTCTAGTAGTACAAGGGACTGACAGAACAATGAACGGGTTATCAACATACAGTCCCCTCCAGTAGTACCAGGGACTGACAGAAAAATGAACGGGGTATAAACATACAGTCCCCTCTAGGAGTACCAGGGACTTACAGAACAATGAACGGGTTGTAAACATAAAGACCCCTCTAGTAGTACCAGGGCCTAACAGAACAATGAACAGGTTATAAACATACAGTCCACTCTAGTAGTACCAGGGACTAACAGAACAGCGAACGGGTTATAAACATACAGTCCCGTCCAGTAGTACCAGGGACTGACATAACAATGAACGGGTTGTAATCATACAGTCCCCTCTCGTAGTCCAAGGGACATGCAGTCCCCTCTAGTAGTACCAGGTACATACAGTCCCCTCTAGTAGTACAAGGGACTGACAGAACAATGAACGGGTTATAAACATGCAGTCCCCTCTAGTAGTACCAGGTACATACAGTCCCCTCTAGTAGTACCGTATGTGGAACTCTACCATCACAAAAGGTCGTCTCAAACAAAGGTACAATAATAAGAAAAAGGTTAAATGAGAAATGCCTGAACAAAGAAACACACTGACTGACAGAACAATGAAAGGGTGGTAAACATACAGTCCCCTCTAGTAGAACCAGGGACTAACAGAACAATGAACGGGATGTAAACATACAGTCCCCTCTAGAAGTACCAGGGACTGACAGAACAATGAACGGGATATAAACATACAGTCCCCTCTAGTAATACCAGGGACTAACAGAACAATGAACGGGTTGTAAACATACAGTCACCTCTAGTAGTACCAGGGACATACAGACCCCTCTAGTAGTACCAGGGCCTAACAGAACAATGAACAGGTTATAAACATACAGTCCCCTCCAGTAGTACCAGGGACTGACAGAACAATGAACGGGATATAAACATACAGTCCCCTCTAGTATTACCAGGGACTGACAGAACAATGAACAGGTTGTAAACATACAGTCCCCTCTAGTAATACCAGGGACTAACAGAACAATGAACACGTTATAAACATACAGTCCCCTCTCGTAGTGCCCGGGACTAATACAGTCCCCTCTAGTAGTACCATGGACTGACAGAACAATGAACGGGTTGTAAACATAAAGACCCCTCTAGTAGTACCAGGGACTGACAGAACAATGAACGGGTTATAAACATACAGTCCCCTCCAGTAGTACCAGGGACTGACATAACAATGAACGGGTTGTAAACATACAGTCCCCTCTAGTAGTACCAGGGACATACAGTCCCCTCTAGTAGTACCAGGGACTGATACAGTCCCCTCTATTAGTACCAGGGACTGATACAGTCCCCTCTAGTAGTACCAGGGACTGACAGACGATGAACGGGTTGTAAACATACAGTCACCTCTAGTAGTACCAGGGACTAACAGAACAATGAACGGGTTGTAAACATATAGTCCCCTCTAGTAGTACCAGGGACTGATACAGTCCCCTCTATTAGTACCAGGGACTGATACAGTCCCCTCTATTAGTACCAGGGACTAATACAGTCCCCTCTAGTAGTACCAGGGACTAATACAGTCCCCTCTAGTAGTACCAGGGACTGACAGAACAATGAACAGGTTGTAAACATATAGTCCCCTCTAGTAGTACCAGGGACTAATACAGTCCCCTCTAGTAGTACCAGGGACTGACAGAACAATGAACAGGTTGTAAACATACAGTCCCCTCTAGTAGTACCAGGGACTAATACAGTCCCCTCTAGTAGTACCAGGGACTGACAGAACAATGAACAGGTTGTAAACATACAGTCCCCTCTAGTAGTACCAGGGACTAATACAGTCCCCTCTAGTAGTACCAGGGACTGACAGAACAATGAACGGGTTGTAAACATACAGTCCCCTCTAGTAGTACCCGGGACTGATACAGTCCCCTCTAGTAGTACCAGGAAGTAATAACAATGTCATAAAATAGCAATAAAATAAATCATAAACCCACTCTGTCTTTTGAGTTGCCGTTCCCGTTTGTTGCCGTGATCCTCGACATCGTTGAGTTGGTCGGACAGCCGTTCTCTCTCCTCCTGGCTGCGTATCTGACTGATGTTTACGTGTGCTCGTAAGTCACGCACCTCTGCAATTAATGACTGGCGATCGGCGTGGAAGATCTGGTCGAGGGCGGACCGCTGGTGACTCTCCTAGAGACAACAACATTTCTGTTATTTTTTTCTATTGTTTTTTCACAATAAATACATTCAATTTCTTGCTTTATGTTTATTTTTTCCCACTTTTCTCTGGTTCTTATTCATCATGAATAGATTTGAGTTAGAACAGGAAGGAATGAAAAAGAAGAAAATGGCCACAATTCTGTGAGAAAAGTCATACAAAAATGTGTAAAAACAATATAAAGGTCCTTCAAACACGCACATTTCCACAGATAAAGGTAAGAAAGAACATTTCTGCATGCTCGACATTTGGTCAGATTTGGTTGCGAGGACAAGAAATCGACACTGATTTTACTTACTGAGGTTCGGATTCTCTTTTCCAGTTTATGGATCTCGGTGAGATCAGCATTTGGATGTGACATTACGTGTGTGCGGAGTTCTGCCAGCAATGTCTCACGTTCCTTGGCAAACACGAAACCAACGGAGTGCAATAGCTCACCGCGCCAGTCTTGGATCTCCGCAGACTAGAAAACAAAGTCAGTCAAATAGAAGTCTTTTACAGAGGTCACACAAAGGTTAGGTTATGTAAAGGTCATCTTGAGGTCACATATTGGGGGGAATTCGGATGTCTTTCAAGGACACAAAAATTCAATATAAAGGAAATTTAGTGATTTAAGATTGCAAACTTGAATAAAAGGTCCTAGAAGGATCTTGACAGCCACCACGAAAGGATCAGATCTTCAAAACATGATCTTTTACCTCTTCATTTTCCTTTCACGTACAATAACCAAGTCCCATGGTGGAAATCATAAATGGGAATCTTGAACATTAACTTAAACCTGGCCATGTATTTTGTTTTTTGCTACAATGATGAATGTTATTGTGTAAGAAATAACTATATGTAAAATTCTTACAATTCTGTAAATGATGGATGAATTCTCATTAGGTATTTTAAACAAGGGAAACATACCTATGAAATAGTGATAACGAAATTGAACTGTAAAATTCAAGATGGCTGTGAGATTTGAGAGAGTTCACTCTTGTACTTTCTGAGAAATAGCGCTAAAACACTTTATCTCTAAAATTCAAGATGGCCACCAGTTCCCAAATTCAATATGCATAGTAAAGAACAATGGGAAACCTTCAAGTGAAGTTTCAGAAAAATACCTCCAGTACTTTATGAGATATAGCACTAACAAACTTTAGCTCTTAAAATTCACGATGGCCACCTTTCCACCATCTTTGTTTTCTAATCAGTCCCAAAATTTTATATGCATAACTAGTGACCATGGGAAACCTTCAACTGAAATTTGAGAAAGATCCACAGCGCCTAATAGAGTCGTTTAAGGACAAACTGATGGACCATGGATAAAGCATTCTCAGCCCGCCATCATCAGATGTTGGGCTTTTACAATGCTGCAAAGATGATCAACACTAAAAAAACATGAACAAATATTTGTATTCTATGTCTACAATGAATGTCAGTTACGCTGTAATATTTGGAATTCAGAAATACTTGTTAACCTTGGTTACCAGGAATTTGTTAGTTACTACAGTACAGCAGTTAAGTAAGTTAGAAAATACAATCATCTTTAACAATAGCAAAACATTGTCACACTGCAAAACAAAACTACTTAATTCCAGGCAGTCAATACATGAACATAAAAAACAAAGTGTTAAAGGCTATACCTCTGTGTGTAACACCAAACATGATGTCTAGGTTTATACCTCTGTGTGTAACACCAAACATGAAGTCTAGGTTATACCTCTGTGTGTAACACCAAACATGCTGTCTAGGTTATACCTTTGTGTGTAACACCAAACATGATGTCTAGGTTTATACCTCTGTGTGTAACACCAAACATGACTTGTTTGTTATGGAGTTGTTATACAGTATGACTTGTTTGTTATGGAGTTGTTATACAGTACGACTTGTTTGTTATGGAGTTGTTATACAGTACGACTTGTTTGTTATGGAGTTGTTATACAGTATGACTTGTTTGTTATGGAGTTGTTATACAGTACGACTTGTTTGTTATGGAGTTGTTATACAGTACGACTTGTTTGTTATGGAGTTGTTATACAGTATGACTTGTTTGTTATGGAGTTGTTATACAGTATGACTTGTTTGTTATGGAGTTGTTATACAGTACGACTTGTTTGTTATGGAGTTGTTATACAGTATGACTTGTTTGTTATGGAGTTGTTATACAGTATGACTTGTTTGTTATGGAGTTGTTATACAGTACGACTTGTTTGTTATGGAGTTGTTATACAGTATGACTTGTTTGTTATGGAGTTGTTATACAGTGCAACTTGTTTGTTATGGAGTCGTTATGCAGTATGACTTGTTTGTTATGGAGTTGTTATAAAGTGCAACTTGGTTGTTATGGAGTTGTTATACAGTACGACTTGTTTGTTATGGAGTTGTTATACAGTATGACTTGTTTGTTATATAGTTGTTATGCAGTACGACTTGTTTTTTATGGAGTTGTTATAGAGTATGACTTGTTTGTTATGGAGTTGTAATACAGTACGACTTGTTTGTTATGGAGTTGTAATACAGTATGACTTGTTTGTTATGGAGTTGTTATAATACAGTAGGACTTGTTTGTTATGGAGTTGTAATGTAGTATGACTTGTTTGTTATGGAGTTGTTATCCTGTAGGACTTGTTTGTTATGGAGTTGTTATACAGTACGACTTGTTTGTTATGGAGATGTTATACAGTATGACTTGTTTGTTATGGAGTTGTAATACAGTATGACTTGTTTGTTATGGAGTTGTTATACAGTAGGACTTGTTTGTTATGGAGTTGTTATGTAGTATGACTTGTTTGTTATGGAGTTGGTATGCAGTATGACTTGTTTGTTATGGAGTTGGTATGCAGTATGACTTGTTTGTTATGGAGTTGTTATTCAGTATGACTTGTTTGTTATGGAGTTGTTATGCAGTACGACTTGGTTGGTATGGAGTTGTTATGCAGTATGACTTGTTTGTTATGGAGCTGTTATACAGTAGGACTTGTTTGTTATGGAGTTGTAATGTAGTATGACTTGTTTGTTATGGAGTTGTTATCCAGTAGGACTTGTTTGTTATGGAGTTGTTATGCAGTATGACTTGTTTGTTATGGAGTTGTTATGCAGTACGACTTGGTTGTTATGGAGTTGTTATGCAGTATGACTTGTTTGTTATGGAGTTGTTATACAGTATGACTTGGTTGTTATGGAGTTGTTATGCAGTATGACTTGGTTGTTATGCAGTATGACTTGTTTGTTATGGAGTTGTTATCAGGTAATACAGGCTTATATCTGTTAAGATTTTATATTCCTCTAGCTTTCATGTGTTGTAAATATAAAACAAGAACCCATGAAATATAAATTCAAACTATGTATTGGATTAAACAGACAAAGAACACAACCCTGAGTGTTATAAGAAATAGAAATACATTTATGCAATATTATTTCCATTTTCAAACTAAATCAAGTGCAATAGTCAGAACCTACCATAGTTACACAGCAGTCTTTAAATTCTTTTATTGAATGGCAGATATTCATATGTAGTTAAGTCCATATTATAAAATCAATTGTTTGTGATATAAAATCTATTGATAATTGTGTTAAATTCTTCTTGAATCTGGCAGTGAATGTAATCTACAATATGAAATGGACAAAGGCAAAGGACAGAATTTTAATTGAATCAGTTATAATTGTGAATCAGAATCATGAAATAACTGCTTAAAAAATCTCACTGTGTTACTTATTAAAGACAGCTGCAGTGTTAAATCCAAATGTGTACGACTAGCTAAAAAGTGTGACCAATGTACAGAATTATAAGTGTGCCAATATATTCACAAGCCATACCTAATTGTACTGCTGTCACTGAGCCTTGTACTACTGTCACTGAGCCTTGTACTACTGTCACCGAGCCTTGTACTACTGTCACTGAGCCTTGTACTACTGTCACTGTGCCTTGTACTACTGTCACTGAGCCTTGTACTTCTGTCACTGAGCCTTGTTCTACTGTCACTGAGCCTTCGGATTGCTTTTGATTTGATAAGATTTACTTAAACAACTCTTTGAGAGTAATAAAATGAGGTATAACTTGTGAAAATCTGTTGAATATGCAGTGAGTGATCTGTTGAATATTCAGTGAGTGATCTGTTGAAAATCCATGGAGTAATCTGTTGAATATTCAGTGATTAATTGGCAAGTCCACAACATATATGGCTATCAAAGGTAAGAATACAGGGTGTAAACAATGATTATTGGCTATCCTACAGATAATGACATTTGTAGGTAGGAATACAGGGTGTAAACAATGATTATTGGCTATCCTACAGATAATGACATTTGTAGGTAGGAATACAGGGTGTAAACAATGATTATTGGCTATCTACAGATAATGACATTTGTAGGTAGGAAAACAGGGTGTAAACAATGATTATTAGCTATCCTACAGGTCATGACATTTGTAGGTAGGAATACAGGGCGTAAACAATGATTATTGGCTATCCTACAGGTCATGACCTTGGTAGGTAAGAATACAGGGTGTAAATAATGATTATTGGCTATCCTACAGGTCATGACCTTTGTAGGTAAGAACACAGGGTGTAAACAATAATTATTGACTATCCTACAGGTCATGACCTTTGTAGGTAGGAATACAGGGTGTAAACAATGATTATTGGCTATCCTACAGGTCATGACCTTTGCAGTCATGTTGTGAAGAATTCAGGTTTAGTCTTCCATGTTAACATTCAATAACACAAGTAATAACAGATACAGGACACAGGTGAACGGAACAAAGAACAGCCATCTTGGAAATTATGAGCCAATATGGCAGCCCCACGAGACAAAAATTAGAGGTAATGAGTACAGTTTTCTGTGAATTGGCAAACAAAACAATCATACGACATTAATTTTGTAAACACGACAACAAGACTTACAAAGTCAGATAACTCTGCCTCATTTTCCTGAGAGGAAGAAATGAATGAAGAAATGTAAGATAATATGTGCAACTGTATGTAAATAGTAAGATGTTGACTGATAACAATAACACTGAGATGATCACCCAGGAGGGTGGACCAGGTTATAGACCCAGGTGGTGAACCTTATACTTCCCTTTGATCAGTAAAGATTGTAATACAGGAGAAACTGGTTGTCTGTTTACTTGACTTTCAAAACAAATTTATTCAACAAAAAGTGTCCTGAAGATAAATACCTGGAAAATATCTGACCGAAAAGCTGAAATCTCTTTATCTTTAATGATTTTCTGAATAGTCTGACCCTCATACTTATTGGCTACATTTCTAGTTTTTAAACATAAAATAATAAACAGGAGAACATTAGAGAGATATTTACTTAAGTCAGCTTTCAGTGATACACTTAAGCTATGGGGATGTTGTTTAATAGAATTGGAGAAGGGGATGGGGCGAGTCTCACCTTGTCCAGTCCTCGTAGCTTGTGAGTCTGAGAGAGGAGATCCTTTAAGGACTGTATAGCTGACATCAGACTCTGTTTCTCATTGTCCCAGGACGACCGTAGTGCAGCCAAGTCAGCCTCCTTGTCTACCTTATCAGTGTTGAGGTGTCGATTCAGGAACTGTAACTCGGACATACTCAGCACCTGGACACTTTCCTTGTGGAGGCGTTCCATCAAGTTCTGTAAAATATATCAAACACCCGGTTGTTCTAAGTACAAAGATATTGATATCTTAAATATTTAGTTTAGAATCAAAACCAGAACATGATCAAACCAAAATTCTTGAAAGATGTGATAAGTTTTGAAATCTATATTTCTAGTAATGGTATTTTATTTAATAAAAATAAGATGACATAATAGACAAAGATGTGTCCTGAAAATGTATACCCTCATTACTTATCTGAGCAATCAGCCTTACCTGGAGACGTACTGGCTCATTTTCTATACCCTCATTACTTATCTGAGCAATCAGCCTTACCTGGAGACGTGCTGGCACATTTTCGTTGAAAGAAAGGTCTGTAGCAGTGGACGCTGCATTGCTGCCAGCATCACCATTGTCGACCCGACCTTGTCCCTGGGCAGTGTCAGACAACGACCGTCGTAGACGATTGTCAAGTTTCTCTGACAAAGAGATCTCTGCCTGTAATCTCTCCACATGTTCCATGGTAGACTGGTCAGCTGCTGGAAACACAAAAATATTCATACAATTATCAGTCAGCAGATTTCAGAAGAGGAGTGGATCACACCAGCTCGTTGGTGGATGAATGTCTTCCCTAATGCTAATGTCCTTAACACACAATGGAGAAATTAAATCAAACTGGAACTTGAATGAGTCTTATTCCCCTTCCAACTCAGATGAGCCCTCCCATCATTGATATCTTGTACAACCCCTACACACCTAGGACGGGGTCCTTGACCTTGGCCAGTTCCATTTCCTGTTTTTGGCGTGCGACTAATCTGTTAATTTCTGTCTTATGTTCTTTGGCCAAGTCACGCCTGACTTCTCCGATCTTGTTCTCAAGTTCCTTCTTGTGTAGTACTCTCAGGTGCTCAATCTCGTCGTCATAGCGAATTCGCAGCTGCATGAGTGTGGTGTCGGTCTCGTGACGTGCACGCTCTTGTATGTCGTGTATATGACGCTGGTGCTGATGGGATAGCTCCTCCCTTAACTCCATCACTTTCTGTAGACAGGAAGATAAACACTAAACAATTAAACATCAACATAATACAGTATGGGACTCGAGTAAAATACACAAAGTCTGTAATGTAGAAATTGATTGGACAGGACACCAATATTTCTGTATTACAGTTTTGTGGTGAGAGTATGGCTGGCAAGAAATAAACTTACTGGCGTAGTACAGATAGTATGTGTTAGTGTATCAACCTCCGTCCTAATAAGTAAGGTAGATTTGTCTGTTCAGCAGAGTTATTACTGATGCTTACTATTGTCAATATTTGGAATGCTTCAGCTGATGAACTTCAGTCCTGTCTCTATTTCATATTCCAGTGCTGATCACAATCGTCATTGTGTGAGTTAGTTTTGTACACGTACATTTCTGTGACATAGTGAGAAGGGGTTTACCGGGGCCCAAGATGGGATATTTGTGTAACTGTTCTCAATCAGACATATGACTTTTCCTATGTTTTGCATTACAAAGGGTACATAAATGTGAAAGGATAATCTCTAGCCAAATAAGATGATGACACGTGAACTTGTTCGTACAAAGGGTGGAGACAAATCAAGGTCATATTGTATCATTACACTTAAGATTAATGACATCATCTTTGTCCAAAACAACTCACCCTGACATAGTCTTTGTCTGAACTCACTGTGACATAGTCTTTGTCTGAACTCACTCTGACGAAGTCTTTGTCTGAACTCACCCTAACGAAGTCTTTGTCTGAACTCACCCTAACAAAGTCTTTGTCTGAACTCACCCTGACGTAGTCTTTGTCTGAACTCACCCTGACGTAGTCTTTAGCTGTGAGTGACGATGATGATCGGAACAGTTCCAGCTCTGACGATGTCTGCTTTAGCTCCTGTGTGAGTGCCACCATCTTCAGCCGCAGTGTGGTGGTGTCTAGTGTTGCAAAGTCTTCTTCACTCTCCTGGCTGTCACTACGGAGACGGAGGACAGGTGGCTCCCTCTTCTTCTCGTCAACACTCTGATCTTGGCTGGTATCACGCCTCTGAAAATGGGAATTGATATATCAAGGTAGTAATAAGCAATGATTTTATTTTAAGGGATAGGCCTCAAATGTATTAACAGCCTTCATCATTTCTGAAAAATATCTTTATAGTGAACTGTCTACAAAAGTGATAATTTTTGAAGAGTAGGGAAAAATTATGGAATGATCTCACAGTGTAAATATGTATTACTGAAAATCGATTAACCATATGCAGTCAAACCTGGTCATGCGACCACATTTATTAAGAGACTTCCTGTATAAAGAGACCACCTGTGTCAATAACAATAACAATGACAGTGATAGAATTACAATCAAAGGTCAATAACGATGACAGTGACGTAATTACAAACAAAGGTCAATAACAATGACAGTGACATAATTACAACCAAAGGTCAATAACGATGACAGTGATATAATTACAATCAAAGGTCAATAACGATGACAGTGACGTAATTATAACCAAATGTCAATAACGATGACAGTGACGTAATTACAATAAAAGGTCAATAACAATGACAGTGATGTAATTACAACCAAAGGTCAATAACAATGACAGTGATGTAATTACAACCAAAGGTCAATAACGATGACAGTGACGTAATTACAACCAAAGGTCAATAACAATGACAGTGACATAATAACAACCAAAGGTCAATAACGATGACAGTGACGTAATTACAATCAAAGGTCAATAACAATGACAGTGATGTAATTACAACCAAAGGTCAATAACGATGACAGTGACGTAATTATAACCAAATGTCAATAACGATGACAGTGACGTAATTACAATCAAAGGTCAATAACGATGACAGTGACGTAATTACAATCAAAGGTCAATAACGATGACAGTGACGTAATTAAAACCAAAGGTCAATAACAATGACAGTGACGTAATTACAACCAAATGTCAATAACGATGACAGTGACGTAATTACAACCAAAGGGCAATAACAATGACAGTGACGTAATTACAACCAAAGGTCAATAACGATGACATTGACAAAATTACAATCAAAGGTCAATAACAATGACAGTGACGTAATTACAACCAAAGGTCAATAACGATGACAGTGACGTAATTATAACCAAATGTCAGTGTGAATATCACCATCACACCAGGCTGACAGTCATGTCGTCGGTGTAAATATCACCATCACACCAGGCTGACAGTCATATCCTTGGTGTAAATATCACCATCACACCAGGCTGACAGTCATGTCGTCGGTGTAAATATCACCATCACACAAGGCTGACAGCCATATCCTCTGTGTAAATATCACCATCACACCAGGCTGACAGTCATATCCTTGGTGTAAATATCAGCATCACACAAGGCTGACAGTCATGTCCTCGGTGTGAATATCACCATCACAAAAGGCTGACAGCCATATCCTTGGTGTAAATGTCACAATCACACAAGGCTGACAGCCATATCCTCGGTGTAAATATCACCATCACACAAGGCTGACAGCCATATCCTCTGTGTAAATATCACCATCACACAAGGCTGACAGCCATATCCTCGCTGTGAGCCTTACCATTGGCACCAACGATCATTTACAATGTCAAATTCACGAGGTGAAACTAGAACAGTGACAGGTTAGCAAGAGCCCCACCATGTGCCCCTGACCGTACCTCGACGGTCTATTTTTAGTAACTTTGTCTTTAGAAACTTTTCTAACATATTGCAGTATATCACTTTGTCCAATTTCAAAAAGATCAGTTTTTTCGATTCTGTGTTAATCTCGGGAAACCAAAGTGTGGATGGACTGACGGACAGACAAACTGATGGCCATTGCGCTTCCTATAGGTCACCCTGATCACTGATGTGGGGCCCTTATAAAGGAAATGTGAACTGCCGGGTAATATTCTTAGTTACTGGAGCTGTTGGAGAAACAGTTTGGGCGAGTTTACTACCAAACAATACCATTGGTAACTGGAATTGTGGAAGAAAAGGGTTGGTCCTTTCAGCAGCAACACTATATATGTGCAAGTCAGATCACTAATCAGCAATCCTGACTATCAGCGACCAAAGTCTTAGTCCTGACTGTAAGTGACCAAAGTCTCAATCCTGGCTATAAGTGACAAAGTCTCAATCCTGACTATAAGTGACAAAGTCTCAATCTTGACTATAAGTGACCAAAGTCTCAAACCTGACTATAAGTGACAAAGTCTCAATCCTGACTATAAGTGACCAAAGTCTATTTGACAGTCACTAACCTGTGAGGTTTCCTGCTGTTGAAGGTCCAACACAGCTGCCTTGGACGCGTTCAGCTCCATCTGAAGACTGTCGATTCGTTTTTGTGCCAGTTCTGGAATGACATCTATATCCAGGTCCAGTCCGATCCCTGATGACTGATCAAGCTCCCCTCTGAGCTTGGAAACCTCATGAGCCCTTGTTTCCAGCTCCCGAGCTTTCCTCTCAAGCTCCTCAACTGTAGCTTTAAGGCTTTGCTTGCTGTTATGTAGATCAGCGTAAACCAAGTCTAGTTCCTGCGCCTTTGACTCAAGCTCCTCTTCATTTCTCACTTGTGATGTACGAGCTCTCTCCAGCTCTTCAGCTTTCTCCTCTACACAAAGTTTGGTCTGCTCCAGTTCTTTCTCCAACACTTCCACAGCTTCGTTCTTTTCCTGAAGAAGAAGCAAACTTTTATTTGACAGAATCCAGCATGTATATTTTAGCAATTCTTTGTACTACATAAATGAACATTCTTAAAAAAAAATTCATCCATTCAAAATAAATTGCCTGGACAACATTTGAAAGTTATAACATTATTTTAGATGGGCAGACAAATAAAGAATGAGCATTTTGTTCTGTTCAGGGAAAATTTGTTCCCAATACAGCTAAGGTCACACCAAGACCTGCTTAGCAAGTTATAGGATGCACATGAAAAGTGGACTAAATAACTTAAAGACAGATTACACAGAGCAATTCATTGAAGATTTTAGTCTTACCATGATTTCTGTCTGTAGGTTAGTTACCGTGGCTACTGCGTCCCCTCCTCCTACAGTCGACTCTGTGGCAGCCTGCAGCTGCTGATTCTGGTTCTGAAGGTCACTAATGACCTTGGCTTGCTTAGCATGAGCCATGTTGGCAGTATTTTTCAGACTTGTGACCTCATCCTCTCTCTCAGCCTCTGACCTCTCCAGCTGTTGGTGCAGATCCTGACACCAAACAAAACCCATTTTATACTACCAAATTATATTTATCAGATGTTCTAGTGTAAAAAAAGTATTGAGACAATTAACGTAAATTCTGAGACCTCACAAATGTCTGTTACAACTGTTATTGATTTTTTTCACAATAAACCATTGCTGAATATAATGTTCTTGTGTAAAATTTTAAATATACTGAAATTTGTCCTTATTCTTGTGACCCATATTCCTGTCACTCTTACCATGACAAAAAGCCTGACCTCTAACCTTTAACTCAACATGACCCTTACAATACAGAGTAAACTTTAAATAAGGAACTCCCATAACCCTTACTTTGAAAAGTCTTTAACCATGACCTTTAAATGTAACTGTTGTACTAATACCTTAACAAGCCTGTCGTGGTCTACATTAGCTTGATGCATTTCCAGCTTCAGTTTCACATACTCTTCTTCTTTCTCCTCCACCAGTTGTAGCTGTGCCTCACTGAATTCCACTGCCTGGGTCAGTTTCTCTTTCATGTCCTCAAACTCTGCATCCTTTTCTTTCTGGAGCAGAGTTTTTTCACGGCGAACTTCTTGTAGCTCAGACATCAGTTCCTGTATGCGGTTCTCGTCGCCTTCCTGTTGCAGGAGCTGTAGCTCCCCCTGGAGGGAATGCAGCTGTTCCTCACGCTCTGACAGCTGTGCTGTTGTCTGCGACAGCTTCTCCTCCTTCTGTTGCAGTGTGGTGATGGCGTCCGACAGCTGTGCTGTGACCTTGAGGTACTGCTCCTGTAGTGTCCTGTACTCACTTTCCTTGGCGGCTAGGTGTGCAGTAACCTCATGCATTTTCTGCTCTGTTGATTCTGTAAGTTGCCCGTCTGACATGACCTCTGAACTCCACACGCTGGCTTGACCTCTGAGCTCTGTGACCTCCCGCTGTAAGTCTTCTATTATTTTCTCTTTCTCTTCAAAGTCAAACAAGCTGTCACCTTCTTTTAGTTTCATTTCCCTTAGCGAGTCCACTTGTTGCTGAAGCCATTCAACTTCATCATGGAGATGTCGCCCTTCTTCGTGACTTTTAGCCAATTGTTCTTCCACCGTTGAAATGTCTGCCTTTGCCTTGCTCTCCATTTCTTGTCTGATACTCACAAGCTCCTGCTGGAGACGGATCACCTGTGCAATTTTATCCTGAAGAAGCTTGTCACTCTCCGATACCTCTCCTTCAGCCCTAATGCTTTCCAGCTTACCCCCCATTTCGATGAGGCTGTCATCTTTCTCTCGTAAAAGGCTGTTGAGGTCATCCTCCCCACTCTTCATTGCATTGAGGGCCTCACGAAGGATTGAAATTTCCTCGTCTTTCTCTTTTAGATCCTCCACCACCTGACTCGCCTCTAGACCTCTGTACATGTCAAGCTCCTGCTCAAGCTGTACAACCCTTCCCTCCAGAGCCTGGGATCTTTCATCTGAGGATATCCCGCTTGAGGTACTTGGCATTTTCTCTTCTAGAGTTTTGTAGCTGGCAACTTCGTTTTCTAGACTGCAGACTTTTTCTTTCAGAGCCTGGATTGTCTCCTCCACAGCACGACTTATTGGAGGACCACGGATTCTCTCCAAAGTCTGTGGGAGAATCTGCTCCTCAAATACTTCACAAGGCTCAGTCTCAGGAACATTTGTTTGGGGTACCAATCCAACCTGTTTACCCTGGGAGACTGTACCTACACTCTCTGGCACTAGAATCTGATGGCTTCCCTGAGTAGGTAGCTCCAAGGACACTCCATCTATGTCCCCTTGGCGTGTCCCAACTTCACTAGACCTGGCAACATGGAGGTCCTGTTTGAGTTGGACGACTTCCCCTCGGAGACTTTCCAGCTCTAACTCTGTATCAGCAGTCTCCTCCTGCCTCAGATTTGTCACTTCCTTCCGCAATATCTGTAACTCTTCATCCTTTGCCACGGTCTCTTCATTCAGACAAGTTATTTCCCTTCTCAACTCGGTCACATCTTGCCCCTCTCCACCCTGGAGTTTGTCTTCGAGCCCTGCCATCCGTAGCTCAGTTATCTCTGCTTCACTAGACTGCGAGTTAAGCTCTTTCTTAAACATCCCAATCTCCGCTTGGTGATGCATCAGCTCATCTTCCTCTCTCTTTTTTGTAGCCTCAAGCTCATTCCTAAGCTCTAACATTTCCTCAGTTTGAAGAGAAATTTGAGTCTCATTCCTAAGTATTATAGCCTCAAGCTCCTTTATATGCACTGTGAGCTCCTCCTGTCCTCTCTGCAAACTTTCTGGCTCCTGATCTCCAGTCAAAGCTTCAAGCTTCTCCTTTAAAGCTGCCACTTCTTCCTGATGCATCTGATCGCCAGTCACAGCTTCAAGTTTCTTCTTTAAAGCTGACACTTCTTCCCGAAGAGACTGGATCTCTGCATTCTTCTCCTTCAAAAGAATGTCAGGACCCAACAGTCCAGCTTCTTCAAGTTTCCTCTGTAGATTTTCTGCAATCTTCAGATGTTCCTGGACAGTATCAAGTTGTTCTTCTAGCTTGGCAATCTGTTGGTCCCTGTCATTGATGACAACCTCCTTCTCCTGTTGAAGACACTGGACTTCCTGTGAGGCCTCTCCAGTGGAAACTTTCTCTTCCAGCTGAGACTTCAAATCTGTCAGTGTTGTCTCCTGGAAATCATCAAATAGAAACTGTATGTCAAGAGTATGTGATAGGCTGATGTTCCTTACCTCTGGTATTTTATGATCCGGAATGATTGAATGTGACTGTATTGAATTTCAATTGAAGCTATGATTTAACAGATGAAGATGTTGGGTAGAGTGATGCCTTACCAGCTGTTCTAGTTTCTCATTAAGAAGATACCTCACCTGCTGTTCTAGTTTCTCATTAAGAAGATATCTCACTTGCTTTTCTAGTTTCTCATTAAAAAGATACCTCACCTGCTGTTCTAGTTACTCATTAAGAAGATACCTCCCCTGCTGTTCTAGTTTCTCATTAAGAAGATACCTCACCTGCTGTTCTAGTTACTCATTAAGAAGATACCTCACCTGCTGTTCTAGCTTCTCATTAAGAAGATACCTCACCTGCTGTTCTAGTTACCCATTAAGAAGATACCTCACCTGCTGTTCTAGTTTCTCATTAAGAAGATACATTTCCTCGGCCTTCTCATCAATCACATTGTTCCGTTCTTTAACATCCCTTTGGAGTCTAGTTATTTCCAGTTCCAGCGCAGTCTGCAGAAGAATACATAAATACATCTTGTAAATATATTCCTTGTAACATTGTGACATCATTCCCCAAAAAATATTGATATTAAGGAAAGCTCACCACTATCTGAGGTACTTATCATGTGTGCTGAAATTACAAAATGTAGGTAAGCAGTGGTGTGTCCAACAAGTCGTCAAAAACAGACAGAAAAAAAGACAACCCAATTCCAGAATAACCCCCATCCCTCTGATTGTTGTGGGGAATTATAAGTGCTGCACAGTAAATGAAATTCACAAGATCTGTATCTTAACTGGCGTATTCATTTTTTTTCCTCCCATTTTAACAGAAATTCCCACTGAAAACTTACAAGGGTACTGGGACTTTCAGCAGACTTCTCTGTGAGTTCTTTGGTGAGAAGGTCAATGTCTCGCTCTTTTTCCTCAAGCATGGATTGTACTAAGTCAAAATCCTCTGACAACTTTGTCTGCAATATAAGGCACTTCCAGGTCACACATTTCCCCATTACTGGCGAAGCAATAAATATCTGGAAAACCATACTTTACAGAATAATTATGTCATTTTTTTTAACTTTTTTTTTTTTACTTTTTAAATATTTTCTTGTGAATGTAGACAGATACTGTCTGGCAAGTTATCTCCCTTACCTGGAAATCATTCAGACTTTCCACCTCTGAGTTCAGTGACTCTATCTGAATGGTCATCTGATCAATCTGGCTCTCCTTTTCCTGGACTAGCTGGGCATGGTCAAGACTGCTAGGATCAGCCTGGTAACAATGTAAATGTAATCAGTTAGAACTAAATACAACTTTCTGCTATTTTTATACACAACCATTGCTCCTCATAATTCAGCCAGAAATGAGTTGAAATTTTACTCTATAATCTGAATTCAAAAGCGAATGCACAGTTTTAAAACCATTTACATTTCTATATGTAACGAGATAATACATAGCCTGACACAAGTTGTCCGGAGGCTTGGCACCTGTACCTACTAACATGCCACAACTCGTTTAGTTAGACCTCTGACTGGTCAAACTTGATCATTAACACCTGGTTACATTAGACCTCTGACTGGTCAAACTTGATCATTAACACTCGGTTATGTTAGACCTCTTACTGGTCAAACTTTATCATTAACGCTCGGTTATGTTAGACCTCTGACTGGTCAAACTTGATCATTAACACTCTGTAACAGGTCAGCTTTACCTTTGCTTTTGGTGTCATCGTCTGGCTTTCTTTTAAAAATGAAATTTCTGCTTGTTTCTGTTTAACAATTTCTGTCAACTCCAGGATTTTATTCTGAAAATAAAGTTATACTGTTGTTGTTGACTGATAGACAGAAATGATAGAAAGGTACGGGGGCTCACTTGGCCGAACCACAGGTTTTCTCCAGGTACTCCGGTTTCCTCCCACAATAAGACCCCCACCCGCTAACATCCGGGCCAACAAGAGTGATTAATATAAGTTGTAAAAACTTTTTTCATAATTGTTGTAAAATAAATAGAGTTTCTATATGAATACATAGACAGAAATACTGACTAGGACTACTACATTATCAAAATCTGAAGTAAAAACAATGAGAGCAATCAAAATTGTAGTTGTCAGTAATGTAGTCGTCACTGTAGTTGTCAGTAATGTAGTCGTCACTGGAGTTGTCAGTATTGCTGTCATCACTGTAGTTGTCAGTAATGTAGTTGTCACTGTAGTTGTCAGTAATGTAGTCATCACTGTAGTTGTCACTGTAGTTGTCAGTAATGTAGTTGTCACTGTAGTTGTCTGTAATGTAGTCATCACTGTAGTCGTCACTGTAGTTGTAAGTAATGTAGTTGTCACTGTAGCTGTCAGTAATGTAGTCATCACTGTAGTCGTCACTGTAGTTGTGACTGTAGTTGTCAGTAATGTACTCATCACTGTAGTTGTCCCTGTAGTTGTCAGTAATGTAGTTATCACTGTAGTTGTCAGTAATGCTGTCGTCACTGTAGTTGTCAGTAATGCAGTCGTCACTGTAGTTGTCAGAAATGTAGTCGTCACTGTAGTTTTCAGTAATGTAGTCGTCACTGGAGTTGTCAGTATTACTGTCATCACTGTAGTTGTCAGTAATGCTGTCGTCATTGTAGTTGTCAGTAATGTAGTTTTCACTGTAGTTGTCAGTAATGCTGTCGTCACTGTAGTTGTCAGTGATGTAGTTGTCACTGTAGTTGTAAGTAATGTAGTTGTCACTGTAGCTGTCAGTAATGTAGTCGTCACTGGAGTTGTCAGTATTGCTGTCATCACTGTAGTTGGCAGTAATGTAGTTGTCACTGTAGCTGTCAGTAATGTAGTCGTCACTATAGTTATCAGTAATGTAGTCGTCACTGTTGTTGTCAGTAATGTACTCGTCACCGTAGTTGTCAGCAATGTAGTCGTCACGGTAGTTGTCAGTAATGTAGTCATCACTGTAGTTGTCACTGTAGATGTCAGTAATGTAGTCGTCACTGGAGTTATCAGTATTGCTGTCATCAGTGTAGTTGTCAGTAATGTAGTCCCCACTGTAGTTGTCAGTAATGTCGCCATCACTGGAGTTGTTTAAGGGGTTATACTTACCTTTTCTATTCATAAGTCAATATTTTGGGTAAATATTTCTTTCTTTTTTATTTTAATCTCATATACCCTCCATGAATGCTATCTGTGTGTTGGGGAAAGATATCTGTTTTTCTATCTGTTGTAATAATCTTGCTATGCTCAGTTGGGATGGAAGATGGTTTCATTAACAAGGCTTGATATTTCATTCAAACGGAGTAACCTCCCCTATAGTACCTGGTCTGTGTTACGTAAAGTTTCTAAATCTTGTCGTAGGCCGGTGTCAGTAATGTAGTTGTCACTGTAGCTGTCAGTAATGTAGTCGTCACTATAGTTGTCGGTAATGTAGTCGTCACTGTAGGTGTCAGTAATGTAGCCATCACCGGAGTTGTTTAAGGGGACATACTTACCATTTCTATTCATAAGTCAATATTTTGGGTAAATATTTCTTTCTTTTTTATTTTAATCTCATATACCCTCCATGAATGCTATCTGTGTGTTGGGGAAAGATATCTGTTTTTCTATCTGTTGTAATAATCTTGCTATGCTCAGTTGGGATGGAAGTCAGTAATGTAGTCACCACTGTAGTTGTCAGTAATGTTGTCGTCACTGTAGTTGTCAGTAAGGTAGTCGTCACTGTAGTTGTCGGTAATGTAGTCATCACTGTAGTCGTCACTGTAGTTGTAAGTAATGAAGTAGTCACTGTAGTTGTCAGGAATGTAGTCGTCACTGTAGTTGTGACTGTAGTTGTCAGTAATGTATTCGTCACTGTAGTTGTCGGTAATGTAGTCATCCCTGTAGTTGTCAGTAATGTAGTCGTCACTGTAGTTGTCAGTAATGTAGTCATCACTGGAGTTGTTTAAGGGGACATACTTACCTTTTCTATTCATAAGTCAATATTTTGGGGAAATATTTCTTTCTTTTTTATTTTAATCTCATATACCCTCCATGAATGCTATCTGTGTGTTGGGGAAAGATATCTGTTTTTCTATTTGTTGTAATAATCTTGCTATGCTCAGTTGGGATGGAAGATGGTTTCATTAACAAGGCTTGATATTTCATTCAAACGGAGTAACCTCCCCTATAGTACCTGGTCTGTGTTACGTAAAGTTTCTAAATCTTGTCGTAGGCCGGCAACATCCTCCTCTCGTTCATCTAGCTCAGACTTTGACTTCTGAAGTTCCCCACGGATCTCCTCCGTCTCCTCCCGATACTTCAGGGCGAACGAGTCCTCTATCTCCTGTTGGAGGTTGGTCTGTAACAGGACAGTAATGTACTAGAAATCCCACATATAACATCAACCCCCATTTTAATTAAATGGTGCTAAACCAGAGGAAGATTTAGCTCACAGTGTCGTACATTAGTAATTGATGTAATACTCTAAGGCTGTACCTATATATGAGTTGTGATGATGTTGGACTTCTCAAACTGAAGTCATAAAGCTAGATGATTAATCTAACCAAGATGGTTTACACACAGATCAACCAACAGACAAAAAAACCCACCATGTATCGGGTCCTTGAATAATTTATAAGCAACAACATCATAGAATAAGGAGAGATTATATCATTTTGAAAATCTATCCATGAATCATGTGATGCTGTTACATGTATCAGTAGCTACCACTTCACTGAATGAGTCAGTGACTCCAGGAGCCTCAATATCAGACCCATCACCAGAGAATGTAGATGCTTGAGAAGCTCTTAGAAACTGAATGTCTGACTTAGACTGCTCCAACTCTGCTTGTTGGCGATCAACTTCTGCCTGCTGCAGAATAAAAAAAACCCCAACAATATCAACATTTACCAACATGATTTTTAACTAGAACAGTACTAACCCCCTTTCCTATTCCTGATGTGAATACATGTTTATGTTACCTTGTATTTAACAGTGTGCTTATATAGCAATGAGACATCTAAAGCCAGGTTTTAAACAATCTCCCCAACAATCTCTCACCATCAAAGACAGAACTCACAATTGAGTTGTGTCAGACTTACCAGTCTGGCTATTTCCTGTCCAGAACGGAGACGTTCAATTTCATAGTTGAGCTGTTCTATCTGGTTATTAAGATGGTCTATCTCTTGGTTCTTTTCCATGATCAGACTCTGGTTCAGGACAGGCATTGGCATGGAGGCAATTTTATTCTGGAGGGATTTGATCTTGGTCTGTCATCAGGAAAAAAAAGCACTGATAATAATTACAACAGCTGTTGTTACAAACCAAAATTCAGTCTTCAAAGTTAAAAAAAGGCAAGGTTTTTTCTTTATCTTTTTCAAGTTACACATTAACATTTTTTGTCGGAGTATATGTATTATTCCATTCCAACAGTCCAAACCGGAGGAACTTAACTGACACCAAGTCAAGTTTGTACTAGCATTCGCCAAAACACTGCATACAATACATAATATTAGGTCAAACCTAATAGGAAATCATAAATGTTATCTGCAAACTGATAATTTACATGCAATTTAAAATGTACAGGTACCTCTGAAATTAAAGAGGAAAGCTAGAAAAGGATTGGTAACTATACATATAGCCACTGCATAGCTGGAAATGTAACTAAATGCAAACTGATAATTTAGGAAATAGGACTACACCATTGACAGCCAAAGCCTGTGAAGGTGACTGTGACCTACACTTGATACAATGTTACTCGAGCTGTGTCCATATAGAAAGTTTGAGGAGTGCTCGACTTTTAGTATTAGAGCAATTGGACAAAACCTAAAGTCCAAACAAGATAGTGTACAGCTGGGACGACACAGATCACAAACAAGATAGTGTACAGCTGGGATGACACAGATCACAAACAAGATAGTGTACCGCTGGGACGACACAGATCACAAACAAGATAGTATACGGCTGGGACGACACAGATCACAAACAAGATAGTGTACGGCTGGGATGACACAGATCACAAACAAGATAGTGTACCGCTGGGACAACACAGATCACAAACAAGATAGTGTACAGCTGGGACGACACAGATCACAAACAAGATAGTGTACAGCTGGGTTGACACAGATCACTAACACTGACTGGGCCTTTCACTGTATGCTGTTACGGTATGTAACACAGTTTTGCCAGTGAGTAAGTCACTGAATCAGTGCTTATACTTATTATATATTCTCTGAATGAGTGCTCCTACCGTCATCTCCATATTCTCATCCTGTAGTTTCTCGATGACCATGTCACGGCCAGGCTGACTTGTGACCTCTGGCCTATCTGTTGACTCAATGTGGTCAGACAGTTGCTGTATGAGGCGCTCCTTATTGACCAGTTGACCAGCTAAATCTTCAATCTGTTCTTTTTGCTCTTCCAACTGGATAAAAAACAAAACACTTCTGTGAATGGATTGTGAGAATGAATTTACTACAAAAGAAGATTCACATCCCCTTTTAAGTCTTATCCTCAAACACAAGTCATACCCCCTTCTGCCAGGCCTACCTTCTGTCACCCCACCCCCTAATCGGCTACACTAATTCCCATCAGTCATATGTCCTTCATCATTAACAATACCTCCCAAGTGCAACTTCTTCAGCCTCTTTTACATCCCGTTTCCATAACCACACCTCTTCACTCAGGGAATGCTGCCCTGCTCCCAAAATAGTAGAAAAGCTCAGCTTTCCTTCCTTTGGGGTACATAACCCTCTTCTACCTGACCCCCCCTAAATGAGGTCATGACCCCACCCAATCACCTACACTTTACTGATAATCTACCCCCACCCAATCACCTACACCTTACTGATAATCTACCCCCACCCAATCACCCACACCTTACTGATAATCTACCCCCCCCCAATCACCTACACCTTACTCATAATCTACCCCCACCCAATCACCTACACCTTGCCCCATTTGTCACTGATTATCTACCTCCACCCAATCACCTACACCTTACGGATTATCTACCCAAACCCAATCACCTACACCTAACTGATAATCTACCCCTCCCCAATCACCTACACCTTACTAATAATCTACCCCCACCCAATCACCTACCCCTTACTGATTATCTACCCCTACCCAATCACCTACACCTTACTAATAATCTACCCCCACCCAATCACCTACACCTTACTGATTATCTACCCTCAACCAATCACCTACACCTTTCCCTATTTGTCACTGATAATCTACCTCCACCCAATCACCTACACCTTTCCCTATTTGTCACTGATAATCTACCCCCACCCAATCACCTACACCTTACTGATTATCTACTCCCACCCAATCACCTACACCTTACTGATTATCTACTCCCACCCAATCACCTACACCTTACTGATTATCTACTCCCACCCAATCACCTACACCTTACTGATTATCTACCTCCACCCAATCACCTACACCTTTCCCTATTTGTCACTGATTATCTACCTCCAACCAATCACCTACACCTTGCCCTATTTGTTATTGATTATCTACCCCCAACCAATCACCTACACCTTACTGATTATCTACCTCCACCCAATCACCTACACCTTGCCCTATTTGTCACTGATGATCTACCTCCACCCAATCACCTACACCTTGCCCCATTTGTCACTGATTATCTCCCTCCCCCCAATCACCTACACCTTTCCCTATTTGTCACTGATTATCTTCCCCCAACCAATCACCTACACCTTACTGATTACCTACCCCCAACCAATCACCTACACCTTGCCCCATTTGTCACTGATTATCTCCCTCCCCCCAATCACCTACACCTTTCCCTATTTGTCACTGATTATCTGCCTCCAACCAATCACCTACACCTTGCCCTATTTGTCACTGATTATCTACCCCCAACCAATCACCTACACTTTGCCCCATTTGTCACTGATGATCTACCTCCACCCAATCACCTACACCTTGCCCCATTTGTCACTGATTATCTACCTCCACCCAATCACCTACACCTTTCCCTATTTGTCACTGATTATCTACCCCCAACCAATCACCTACACCTTGCCCCATTTGTCACTGATTATCTACCTCCACCCAATCACCTACACCTTGCCCTATTTGTCACTGATTATCTACCTTGTCCAAATCACCTACACCCTGCCCTATTTGTCACTGATTATCTACCTCCACCCAATCACCTACCTGTCTATCACGAGTCTCCACGAACTCTGTCTGTCTTTCCAGCTGTCTTTGAAGTGTAGCTGCCTGACTGTCCTCGCCCAGACTCCCACGGTGCCTCATCGCGTCCAGTTGATTCTCTAGGGCTGAGATCTGCTTCAGCTGCTGCTCCACTCGGTGCTGTAACGCCTCCTTCTCGTGGAGTAATTCCTGTCAGAGAAAGTCAGGAGTTCAAAACTCACATCTGCATCTACTATATTTTACCATTTACTCAATCTTCAGAAAGGGAGTAAAATTTAATTCTATGTGAGAATATTTTTTTCCATATATAGCCTTCTGCAAGCATTCAAATGAAATAGTTCAAAAGTTTCACCATTTTAATATGAGAAAATTCAATTATTTAAATTGAAAAAAGTTTCAGTCATTCTCAAAATTTACATATTAAAAAAATAATAAATCTGAGAACTTATATGCTACCATTTCTAATTTTAGGACTAATATCATTAAAAGTTCAAACACTAAGAATTAATCTGGATAATCAAAACAACATAGACTTTGTTTGTGTCCAGTCATTACCCTGGAGGTATGTGATCCTTACACTTACCTCTTCTTGGTGAAGTGATAGCTGTGAAGGCAGGAGGCGTCGGTGTCGTGTGTTAGTCTTACGTCCTCCGTTTGGAGCGTGAGTTTCTAACGTCTCCTCGTCGTCCGACTCTACATTGGGCGGGAGTTTAATGATTTCTGACAGTTCAGTGTTAACTTGATGTTGTTGAGACAATTCATCCTCCATTTCCCGTAATTTCTACACAAAAAATACCAAACGATTAATGTTATCTTTCTATTCCAGGTACTTAAGTTTCTAATAAGAAAGTGAACTCACCAAAATTGCGCATTAAATTGACACACAGTATTAATTGCCACCAAACACAAAAGGCAGGTTTCAAATAATTTGATATTTGTCTACATAGACCCCGCTGTAGGAGTGACATTTGATCCATTATGAATTAAATGTAAATATTCCTATTCAATTGCCTTTCTATTTGTAGAAATACTTGTATTTGTGTATAATTATCATTCGAGTGTGAGCGCTAGTTTTTTGGTATACAACTATCATCGGAGTGTGATCATTAGGAATTCCCAGTAATGTATATTTTATTTCCAGTTTTGAGTTTACCTCAGAAATTGTTAAAATGTTACCTGTCTGAGTATATCTTCCATCCGACTCCTCTCCTCGAGTTCCTTTTCCTGCTGTATGACAAGGGCCCGCATGTCCTCGGCACTCATCTGTTTGTCCTGGAGGTCACGCTGGAGTTGTGCCGTCTGCTCCACAAATTCACTGTCACGGTCCAAGCGGCTCTGCAACTGCTCTGTCAGGTCATCCACCTACCATGGAAAAACAACTTAACAACCAGGCAACTAAAGCCACAGCTTATTTTCTTCTTTTTCCCCCCCTCCAAAGCAAGAATGAATTTGTTATTTTTGAGGTCAACCAGCTTTTACTTTTGTCAGAGTTTCAAATTAAATATTGAGATATATTGAAAAGATGTTTTCATTCTGCTATTTTTAAATAAGAGGGCTACTTCAACATGAAGTTAAAATTGTGATAAATATTGTTAATATAATTTTCATATTTAAAAAAAAAAAAAAGGTGGGTGAGTTTGTTTAACAAGGCTATAGGTTCAATGCAAAACTTTTAAAAGGCCAGGTGTACAATACTAAACTTACCTGTCGTTAAGGCCAGGTGTACAATACTAAACTTACCTGTCGTTAAGGCCAGGTGTACAATACTAAACTTACCTGTCATTAAGGCCAGAGGTACAATACTAAACTTACCTGTCGTTAAGGCCAGAGGTACAATACTAAACTTACCCGTCATTAAGGCCAGAGGTACAATACGAAACTTACCTGACGTTAAGGCCAAAGGTACAACACTAAACTTACCTGTCGTAAAGGCCAGAGGTATAATACTAAACTTACCTGTCGTTAAGGCCAGGGGTACAATACTAAACTTACCTGTCGTTAAGGCCAAAGGTACAACACTAAACTTACCTGTCGTAAAGGCCAGAGGTATAATACTAAACTTACCTGTCGTTAAGGCCAGAGGTACAATACTAAACTTACCTGTCGTTAAGGCCAGAGGTATAATACTAAACTTACTTCTCGTTGTAGCCTGGTTTCCACCTTCTTCTCCTTCTGACTTTCTAGGATTTTTTGTTCCCAATTCCCTATCTCTCTCTGGAAATCCTCTCTTTCTTTCTCCCTTTCTATAGCTTCTTCCTGTGAACAATGATTTTAATACAGTTGAATAATATTATTAACTTGTGTTTTTGAACACCATGCATATTTCAAAACCTATTTTTAAACCTCCAGCAGTTTACTTCACAGCAATATAATTTTGATATATCAAAGCGTTGTTTATCTAAAATGTTTCCATTATCCTAACAGCTTCCCATTGTACAGAGCTTGGATGAATATACATGTGTCTGATACAGAGTATCTTGTGACCTGGCAATAAGTCCATGCCTGGTGAGAAACCCACCCAGGTCAATGTTAAAAAAGGTTATTTCATTGTCCTGCAATTAGCCCACCCCCTAAGTTAAATTACATCATTTGTATTAGAGATTATGTAGTTGGTGGGGTCCCTGGGCTTAATGCAGGATAAATACAGTAACTTAGGACTATTTAGGAACTCAGGACTATTGAGGAACTGAAGATAGTAAGTAACTAAGGACTATTAAGTAACTCAGGACTATTTAGGAACTCAGAACTATTTAGTAACTTAGGACTATTAAGTAACTCAGGACTATTTAGGAACTTAGGACTATTTAGTAACTCAGGACTATTTAGGAACTCAGGACTATTGAGGAACTGAAGATAGTAAGTAACTTAGGACTATTTAGGAACTTAGGACTATTTAGTAACTCAGGACTATTGAGGAACTGAAGATAGTAAGTAACTTAGGACTATTTAGGAACTCAGGACTATTTAGTAACTCAGGACTATTTAGGAACTTAGGACTATTTAGGAACTCAGGACTATTTAGTAACTTAGGACTATTTAGTAACTAAGGACTATTAAGTAACCCAGGACTATTTAGGAACTCAGGACTATTAAGTAACTCAGGACTATTTAGGAACTTAGGACTATTTAGTAACTTAGGACTATTAAGTAACTCAGGACTATATAGGAACTCTGGACTATTTAGGAACTCAGGACTATTTAGTAACTTAGGACTATTAAGTAACTCAGGACTATTTAGGAACTTAGGACTATTTAGGAATAAAGTTGCTGTATTAATACCAGGTGAATTTCTACCATTCACACAACTCTGATGTGTGACTGTAGTTTTTACCTATATAACACTGATGTGTGTCTGTAGTTTTTTCCTATATAACACTCTGATGTGTGACTGTAGTTTTTACCTATAAAACACTCTGATGTGTGACTGTAGTGTTTACCTAAATAACACTCTGATTTGTGACTGTAGATTTTACCTATATAACACTGATGTGTGACTGTAGTTTTTACCTATATAACACTCTGATGTGTGACTGTAGTGTTTACCTAAATAACACTCTGATTTGTGACTGTAGATTTTACCTATATAACACTGATGTGTGACTGTAGTTTTTACCTATATAACACTGATGTGTGACTGTAGCTTTTACCTATATAACACTCTGATGTGTGACTAGTTTTTACCTATATAACACTGATGTGTGACTGTAGTTTTTACCTATATAACACTCTGATGTGTGACTGTAGTGTTTACCTATATAACACT